CTCTTGCTGGAGCCATTCAAAGTGCCCTCCTCATTCAGGGACAACAGTGTGCTTTCTCTGAGCTGGTGCCAGACCCTGGAGAGAGGAGTGCTCTGAAAACTCAACTTGGACTCCTTACCAAACCACATTGCAGTTTATGCTTAGCATCTGGCCACCAATTTGCCCACTTAATATAAGGTCCCTAACCCTACACATAAGTTGCCCATTTCTCTTTTGATCTAGGAACAAACACTTTTTTTTTTTTAAGCTGGAAGCCCAGCTTAAAATCTTATGAAAAATAAAGGCCCACAGTGAAAAGATGAGAGTCCAACTTAGCTGTAATTAAATTTGTTTTTTCCTCTTTTGCTTTCTCGCAAAGGGTAAGCCAGATACCGCCCTTTCCAGAGAGTAAGTTACCAGACCATAATGTGAAGGAACAGCTTAATTCAGCAGTACGACAAGGATTTGAGCTGGCACTTTTCAGCCAGAATCTGTTACACACACACACACACACACACACACACACACACACCCCACAAGTCTGTTTCAAGTTTTAGTGAATGAAAGAAATTCACATGATAGATTGCCATTCTTAGCATCTTAAAATGGTTTTCTTTTTTTAAAAGATTTTATTTGAGAAAGAGAGAGTGCACAAGCCCTGGGGAGAGAGGGAGAGTGAGAAGCAGACTCCCCACTGAGCAGGAATCCTGACACAGCAGTGGATCCTAGGACCCTGGGATTATGACCTGCCTCAGCCGAAGGCAGACGCTTCACCAACTGAGCCACACAGGCATCCCTTTAAATAGTTTTTATTATTGAAATAGAAAACAATTTTTTGGAAATGTTTTCGATACATCAGCTGACTTCTAATGTTAGGAGGCTTTGATTCTTGATTTTTCTAGTGCAAAATCCTGTATCAAGAGCTAGTAGACTAGAAAAGCGTTAGCTGAAGAAAATGCTGGGAGTGGACTAGGATGGGAATGGAGAATTAAAAGGACAAGCTTGAAGTTACAGTCAGTTCTGCTGTCACACAGCACACATTCCTAAGAAATTACTGCACTGTGCAAAATTGTATCATAGAATCCACATGAGACTCATTGGCAAAATGGGGTTATGGGCACAACACTCAAAACTTCATTAATGGGGCATCCCCGGTAGCTCAGCGGTTTAGCACCGCCTGCAGCCCCGGGCGTGATCCTGGAGACCCGGGATTGAGTCCCACGTGGGGCTCTCTGTATGGTGCCTGCTTCTCCCTCTGCCTGTGTCTCTGCCTCTCTCTCTCTCTGTCTCTATGAATAAATAAATAAAATCTTTAAAAAAAAAAAAACTTCATTAATGATACACACAAAAAAGGTAGCAACCTAACAAAACTGGTAGCACAGTTTTACATAGATTAAGTGGTTAAGGGTAGGTAAACGCAAAAAAATTACCTGACAATTGCTTTTGGAAGTAGGTGTTGGAAGGGGGGCTGCAGCTTGTGAGCTCTTGTGAAGTAGTGGATGGAAGGTTATCTGAAATCGAGGGAAGGTCATAGCACCAGTTGTGGATGGGTGTGGCTCCTCACATCCATGGTGAACTGGGGTAGATGGTGTATGTTTGGGGGGAGGGGTATGTTTTGTGTACGCCCCTGTGGCTCAGTTCAGCCAGGTATAATTTTCTGCTCTGACGTAGTGCTTTTTGCAGATGAGATCTTGCAAAAGCAAGTGCAGTATTTCATTATGTTCAGATCATTCCTTAGTATATCAGGGGCTTTAGAATAAATTTACTTTCTCAACACAAGCATTACAAGCAAAACTGTATTGAATTAGATTGAGAATTTGTTCTCTAAGACACTTGTTTGAGAATTCTGATCCCTAGAGAATAGTAAAAAGAGTGTACTTCATTAAAGTAAAGGTTTTATTTATTTATTTGTTTGTTTATTTATTTATTTATTTTAAGATTTTATTTATTGGGATCCCTGGGTGGCGCAGTGGTTTAGCGCCTGCCTTTGGCCCAGGGCGTGATCCTGGAGACCCGGGATCGAATCCCATGTCGGGCTCCCGGTGCATGGAGCCTGCTTCTCCCTCTGCTTGTGTCTCTGCCTCTCTCTCTCTGTGTGTGACTATCATAAATTTAAAAAAAAAAAGATTTTATTTATTTATTCATGACAGCCACAGAGAGAGAGAGAGGGAGGCAGAGACACAGGCAGAGGGAGAAGCAGGCTCCATGCAAGGAGCCCGACATGGAACTTGATTCCGGGTCTTCAGGATCCCACCCCAGGCTGAAGGCAGTGCTAAACCGCTGGGCCACCCGGGCTGCCCCTTAAAATAAAAGTTTTAGTTGGGGTTTTATTCCTTCTTCATAGCAGAAACATGGTATTATTCCTTTAGTACGCTTCCATCAGAAGCACAGAAGATTGCTGTGGATGAATGTGGAGGAATATTTCATTATTTATTATAATGTACTCCAGAAATCTTTGTAACAGGCTTATCAAACCTACTGTTTCATAGATACTGTTGTTTGGAGAAATAGCTCTCAATTCAGGATGGTACCATGCTTCACACTGGGTTATGTGAAAATTGGAGGGTAGTTTCAGGTTCCCCTGGCATAGGGGCACTGCTGGTGATTAAGGGATAGTGGAAAGGACCTCTAATCCTGAAATCCTGTACAAGAATTGTCCTGTCAAATACCAATGATGCCTCCATGAGAGAGACCAATTAATGTTGGCTAAGGAGATGAGGGAACAGTAGAGTTGATAATTTAAATAAAAGTGTAAAGTAAAAAATAGTATTTTATGTAGCTTTGGTAAAAATGATGAAAATTGCAGTTGATGGAAGTCTGGAAAGCACAAGTTGAGAACAGGTAGTAGCAGTGAGCTTTATTTAATAGGCCCTGATATAGAGTGCCATGGCCCAGGCAGTGTTCTCAGTGCTCTACAAATGTTAACTTACTCAGCCATGTCTAATGGTCTGAAGCATTAGCCTTGTAGAAGGAAGGCTCTCAACCTTGACTGCACAGTGGAATCACACTGGGGTGCTTATAAAAGTCTCGATGCCCAGACCACACCCCAAACCAGGTAAATCAGAATCTCTGAGGGTGAGACTCAGTATTTTTTAAGCTCATTAAGTCAGTGCCAATGTGTGACCACGATTAAGAACCATTTGTCTAGGGCTATTTGAAAATCACTCCTCCTCACAAGAAAAGCTGTACCACTAGTGCAAATGCTAATTGAAGGTCTGCTCTATGCCATGCCTCACAGGGGCAGAGATGACCCAGAAAGGAAGCTTCACGATCCAAGGGAGGTGGCAACTGGAAACTGATTTTTACAGTCCTGGCTGACAAGTGCTGATGCTTGGAAGGATATACAGACAATATTTTGGGATGACAGAGGAGAGAGAAACTAAATTAGAATGTGGAGGGGGAAAACCTCTAGGATGCCAAATTTAGAAAGTTATTAAACCTCAATTTTTAAAAATTTTCCCTCCCATACACACAATTTTCATTAGGGGGAAAAAAAAGCAACAGGCCCTTAAAAATCACTGTCAGTTTAGCCATCCTAACTTGGTTGTGGCTTTTGTGTAGTCTAGTTGGACAATTGGAATTTTGTCTGTAGATAGGTATAATTTTGTCCTGTTGTAGTGCAGGTCCTTAAGTACGACATAAAGCATTGTTGAACTAATGGCCTCCTGGGAATAAGTCATCTCAGCTTCCCAGAGAGCCTCAGGACTGGTATATAATGACCTTTAGAAATAAACCATTTGTGTGATGCTTATAGTTATTGATTCTAGTTTGCTCAATTTTGTAAATATTCATATAGCTTCCGTACTGTAATAAGTAAATGTTGGATCCCTTACATTTTAAAACTTACAGTTAAGCCATGTGTCATTTTAAATTGCAAGTTTAATTGAAGTCACTCACTAAGCTACCATCCATCATAAGGTACTTAAGTAGATAAAGTCACTAAATAATTTACGTGTTTCAGATAGTAACATTCTTCAGCAGCTCTCAATTTATTTAGTGTGGATAGCCTTACGCTGAGAAAACCTGATTCTCCACTGAGTAGACTTTATTTTCAGTTAAACCTGTGTAGTCTGTATTTAACCATGAATTACTTCCTGGTTTAAAAAAACAGGCGTAGCTATTTGTGGTATTTTTGTCTTGTGCCTTTGGCATCTTAGTGGCATGAACCAGAGCTATGCCATCTGTAGTCAAGTGAGATTATTAAAAAAGGGAGGGGGGAGGGCAGCCCAGGTAGCTCAGCAGTTTAGCGCTGCCTTCAGCCTAGGGAGGGATCCTGGAGACGATGGATCGATGGATCGAGTCCTGGGTCTCCCTGCATAGAGGCTGCTTCTCCCTCCGCCTCTGTCTCTCCCCCCCCCCCCCCCCGTCTCTTTCTCTGTGTCTCATGAACAAATAAACAAAATCTTTTAAAAAGGGGGGGGAGGGGCAAGTAAAGTGATTCACTGGAAAATTGCAGAACAAAAAAAAAATTTGCAGAACAGATTCTTAAAGAATGATAAGATAACCCTAGAAACATTCTTATTTGGTATCATATGCTGGTGGGTAGTGACAAAAAAATTTAAGGTACAACTTGTTTCTTAACATTTGCAATTCTGAAAATTGGAAAGATGTATGCTCGAAAGGAAGAAAGAAATCCGTGCAGTGTCAATTAGTACAGCTCTGCAGATGAATGAATAATTTGCCTCCAACTGCAAGTTGGAGCGAGTGAGGGTCATTTCTAGCATGCAAAACCAAATAGTCTCAGGTTTAGAATGGCTGTTTAATTTCCTAATGACTATCTATGTGTGATAAACTGCTTTATGCTGAGATGTTTCCGAAGCAGAAGGACCAGTTCCTAGAATCCTAAATAAGTCTGTGGGGCCTAGATAAGCCATTTCTGAAAGCTGCTGAGTTAAATATATTTTCACTTAGTGACGCATATTTGAACCTAAATGTGTTGATTTCAGGGGACTCTTCCAGGATTCCATTGGCGATTTGCCTGAAACCATGTCCTTTTTTTTCCCCCCCGTTTTCATTTTCAGAAAGAAGACATAGCTCATCCAGCAAGCCTTCTTTGGCCGTTCCTCCCACTTCAGTATTTTCCTTCTTCCCTTCTCTGTCCAAAAGCAAAGGAGGCAGCGGAAGTGGAAGCAGCCGTTCTTCCAGTGGAGGTGTTCTAAGCGCATCCTCATTAAGTTCCAAGTTGCTGAAATCACCCAAAGAGAAATTGCAGCTCAGGGGGAACAGCAGGCCAATGCATCCCATTCAGCAGAGTCGAGTCCCCCACGGTAGAATGTGAGTATGGCCCAGAGGTTCTGAGAGCTCCCCTGCCAGGCGTGGAACTGTGTGCTCCAGTGGCATCTGGGAGTACTGTGGATAGTGTCAAAGACAGGCTGCTGTGGGGGAAAATCAAATATATGTTTCCTCCTTTTGTTCCCTATCCTATTTTGGGAGGCTTCACAGAATAGTAATAGGAATGTTAACAATACTTATTTATTGATTCTTTATTGTGTGTGTGCCAGCTAGGGAAACTTGGCTTTCTTGGTGTCCTGTCATTTAATGATCACAACACCCCTATGAAACAGGTCTTGTTATCCCCATTCTGCAGATAAGGAGAAGGAAACATAATAAGGTCAAGGAGCTTTAGCCAAGGAGTGCTCCAGTCAGACAGGCCTGGCTTCACACACCCCTTCTATCACTTCCTAATTGCAGGGCTTTGAGTGAGGCACTGTTTCTCTCTCAGTCTGAGAATAAAAGCCACTGTGAAGAGTTACTGGGAGAAGTAGAATTAACATGGTAGTGTCAAGTACCTGGCATAGTGTTTGGCCCCCAGGAGACAATAAATGAATGGACATTGGTTCTTCTGCTGCTGCCATTGATAACAATAGGAATAAAAAGGTGAGGTGATTCCCAGATGGCTGTTGTAGGATTTTCTGGAGCCCGCAGAGCAATAGGGAAACAATGTTTCCTTCCCCTGCAGTCTTGGGTTCACGTCACAGTAGTGACCGGGAAAGACTGGAAGAATGGAAGAAGTTCACACTGCCAGGCGAGGCTTTGGCACATTTTCATAGTGGATCTGTAGGCTGCCAGGCTCCTCGTGGTCATGTGAGGGAGCAGCCGTGCACTCCATAGAAACCTGTCTTGCCTCATCACGACAGCCCTGGTGGTGGGTGGCTTTTTTTCTGGCTTGCCTCCCTTTTGGAGGGTATGCCACACATCTCAGTCCCAAGGTCTGATAACCTGGTTAATCTCTGGGCAGTGTGTAGCACCTGCTGCTGCTCAAGGACCTTGCCAGCTGGGAGAGGCCATGGCTTCTTGCAGTATCTCTGCTGCTGTCAGGCTGTCCCAGGTACAGCTGTTTGGTGCTGTTTGTCCTGGTTGCTAGGCCCCCAGCCTCTGCTCATCTGTCAGAAGTACAAGTACAGCAAGCTGGACTTTCGTTCCTGGACCTGTCTGAAAGCCAAAGAAAATGCCAGTGCTATGTGTAAGTCACTCGCCAGCTTAACAGCTGTTTGAGCACTGACTTCACTGAACAAAGTTTATAAAACCTCATCAGTCCAAATTTTCTTTATTTGGAGCTGGGCTTTAGAGGGGACCAGGCCAACTATACTAACATTTGCCACCCAAATGATAGCGTCGGTAAGATCCCCTGAAAACTCAATTCTTTATTAGTGGCCTAAGTATTCACTGTTCACCAGCTATGTGCCAGACACTTAAATTCTGAGCTCCTACTGTAGAAACTTTTTTTCAGAGACTGGAGAATTGTCACCTCAGTGACACATCACATAACTAATTAAACATTGTTCTCCTTCATTGACAGAGGCAGAGAGCCTCTTCTCGGAGATATGGTTGGGCTCATTTGAATTCTTGTATGTCCTTAGTGATGTTTCTTGGGCATATTCTCTAATTCCAGTTATTCTTTCCTCTGTTCACTCAGTTTACTTTGTTTTGATGAATCCTTTCTTAAACATGATAGTTCTCAAAAGAAATTCTCTAAAGGTTTTGCAGATAGTCTTTGGTCCCTTTAGGTGTTTTCATGTTCTGCTTCTTGCAGGCATTGAGTTGAGTATCAGGTCTAGATCTCCCACAGGCTCAAGTGTAAGGTTGTCCTGGATGATGAAAAGGCCAGGTAAATCTGATGGTCTTCTGGAGCTTTCTGTCTCACCAGGAGAGCTTATAGACTGAATAAATGTGAATCTTAACTGAGTTTTCTAGCTATTCCTAATGCATTTTTCCTAAGTTGCCTTTGGGAGCCTAGGTCTCTGCAGTGTGTAGGTAGATCCGGGTTCTGCCTTTTGCCCTCTAGCTCCCTATTTACCTGGGCTGCTGGGCCCTCGAGTGCTGATGTCCTGCTTCCCCCTCTGACAGCATGACGCCCTCTGTCAAAGTGGAAAAGATTCATCCGAAGATGGATGGCACACTACTGAAATCTGCAGTGGGGCCTACCTGTCCTGCTACTGTGAGTTCCTCAGTCAAGCCTGGCCTTAACTGCTCCTCAATACCAAAGCCAACCTTGCCTTCACCTGGACAGATTCTGAATGGCAAAGGGCTTCCTGCACCATCCACTCTGGAAAAGAAGTCTGAAGATAATTCCAACAACAGGAAATTTTTAAATAAGAGATTATCAGGTAACTTCACATTTTTTGTCTTAATGTTTCTCTGTATATGATTGGGCATTCACAAGTGAGCAAATGGACTGCTGTCTCTAAGTCCTCTTTTTAGAACTGGTCAACTTCAGCTCTAGGAGGAAGTTCCTTAGGTAATATGCCTGACCTCTTCAGTCTTGCGTTTAAAAGTACATGTGGGGATCCCTGGGTGGTGCAGCGGTTTGGCGCCTGCCTTTGGCCCAGGGCACCATCCTGGAGACCCGGGATCGAATCCCACATCGGGCTCCCGGTGCATGGAGCCTGCTTCTCCCTCTGCCTATGTCTCTGCCTCTCTCTCTCTGTGTGTGACTATCATAAATAAATTTTTTAAAAAAATTAAAATATATTAAAAAAAAATAAAAGTACATGTGTCTGTAGGTAATGTAAAAATAGCATTCTAGTGCATCTTTCTGAGTGGAGTGGGGTAGTAGTGCTGCCTGGCACACTCTCTTGCATGTCAGGTGTTGCCAGTGTTCCCCCATGCTTTTCCTAGGGTCTGTTGCTGCTGCTCTGCAGTGCTCACGTGTTGTAATTTTATGTTTATTGATGATGTGATGGACTTTATGCAAGTTACAACATGTCTTCAGAGATTGCTCCTATTGTTTTCAAAATAAATAATGTTTGATGAGCCCATTGTAATGTCAAGTGTGCTTTTGACAGAAAGAGAGTTTGATCCTGACATACACTGTGGGGTCATCGATCTCGACACCAAGAAGCCCTGCACCCGCTCTTTGACATGCAAGGTAGGTGGTCTCCTGCAGAACCAAATACTCCTGGTAAACTCAAGGAGATGGGATCTGTGGCACGGCCCCCAGAGTCTCTTTAACCCAGAGGGGAGCTGTTCTGAATTTCGTCAATGAGGGAGTAACAGGATTTTGATGAAGAATGCCTCCGGTTCAGAAAATGTGAAATCTTGTTATAAATTGCAATCTTGAGATGTTTTGCTACCAGCTTCCAGTGTCATCCAGTGCAATAGCATTCTTTCCTCATCAGTCTGTTATTTTCAAAGACTGTTAATGTTTCTGTAGGGAAATTTAATATAAGCAGTTACCCTTTACTGTGGACTTGAAACAGGTCTGGAAACTTCTTTTGCATATGTGTGAATATTCTTAAAATGCTTGTAATCTGTGGTTCTTCAGTTTTAAAGAGCCACTTGAAGATGATCTGATTTTGAGGTAGACTTATTTTTCCAGTACTAAGAAAAGTACTAGATAATATACAATCTCACTAAGCTAAGAAAATATTCTGACCCTCTTTTCTGTCCTCAATTTTCCTTTAAAATTCCGGTATGTTAATAAGAAGGTGGTCTATTTGCTGTAAAATAAGAGTTGATGTGGAGTGGCTTCAGTGGACTTGCTACATAAATAAGCCTGTATGCTCAAGTGCATTTCCCTGGAGAATGTCCCCAGCTGGCCTTCAGAGAAGGGTTTGAAAACTATTGAGAATCATTGCTTTAAAGTAATTTAAAAATGCTTGTTTGGAGGAGGGGGTAAGAATTATAAAAATCAGTGTTGTCTTCTAAAAATAAAATTTTTGGCATATTATTTTAAATGTTACCAAAGATTAGGTTTGAGTAAAGGACTTCAGGGCCTACTCCAGCCCCTAACAGTGGAAGAATGTTAAAATCTTTAGAATGTGGAAATGTTGTTTCTAAGTGATTCTTATTTTAGTTTAAATTTCTAATTCAATTTTAGCATGTAGATTTTATCTTACAACAGTGGTTCTGAATCTTTTAAGGAAAGGTGTTGGCCAAGAGCTTCTTTAACTATCTAACTTAAGAAAAAAAAAAAGATCACATCGTTTGCCCCTTAGGAAAAATATCTACATACTTATATATATTCTGAATTTTGCATTTTGTCTCAAGGGTTCACAGACATTTTCACCCTAAGCCCCACCATTGAATCTTCGGCTTAAAGATTCCTTTCTCAGGACAAATTGCTTTTATTTTATGTACCATTAGTTGTACACATATAGTGGTGTGTTGTTGGAAGGTAGCCATTTGAGCTCTGTAGACCTGGGGCCCGCTGCAGCCACCCCTGAGGGACTTTGCAAGAGTAGGCCTTGGTCTGGTACCACAGTGTGGCCATAGCTTGCCGACTGCTCTTGGCTCCCTTGCTACCTCCCTGGCTCTCAGGACCCTAGATCTCTCAGTATTAGGGTATCTGTGGTCAACAAAGGGTGCTTGCTTTATCCAAGATCCTCACCTTGAATCATCTCTAGGACATGCTGGTGAACCAAAAGCTTTTATCAATTCCTGATGTGCCAGATTGACCAGCCTTCTTCCTGAACCGGTATTGATGGGTGAACAGACTTCGTATGGATCCTGAATTGTTGTCCTGTCTTCCTTTTTAAGTCACATGTGCTCGCCGTGTGTTCCGTGAGGGGTTTCATCAGCATAGCATGGTGCCAGGCCTGTCTTCACATTAGTACACATCTATAGCCCTGGTGTGTCACAGAGTTCATCATAGAATTGGCAGGCCTGCCCTTTCACACATTGTCCTTCCTCTCCTTCTGTGGTTTGTTTGCCACTGCCTCCCCCTCTCTTTGCCTCCATTTTGGCCTGAATCTGTTACATTATTGGGGCTGCCCATGCTTGAGTACCTCTCCACTGAATGTCTCCCCTGTTGCCGCCCAGGTCTATCCTGCCTCAGACTGAGAATGTAGTCCTTCCTCTTCAGTGTCAGGCGACCTGCTGCTGCCCACTCCTGTCACTTGTCCCTTTTGCCTGCCTGCCACCTGCATGGCCCCCTCCTGACTTCTTGTCTGTCTGATGTCCTGTTTCATGTCCCCTCTGTCTTCCATGCAAATAGATTTTGGCTCTAGTATCCTTGCCTGCCAGTCATTGTGGAAGGTTTATTGCATACATCTGAACCTGGGGCTCATTTTGGGTCTCAGTGGATAGAGGCTTTAATAGAACAAGGCACAGTGCCCTAGCCTTGAGAGGCTTACCATCGAGTGAACCAGGTGGGGGTTAACTTCATAATCACTCGTATGTGTGTCAAGTTACCACTGATGAGTAATAAAAAGGAAGGAAGCCTATGTTATGACAGCCTTCAGTAGGGGATTAAGCCAGGGAAGTCTCCTCTGCCACAGGAATACTGGGCTGAAATACACATGACTTATCTGGGCAAAGAAGGTTGGGGGAAGCCAAGGAAGCAGCATGTGTAAATATCCTGTGATGGGGCAGAGTAGACATGTTAGGGTCTGAAAGGCCAGCCAGAAGGCCAAGGAGTAGGAGGAGAAGGAGGCACTTGGGGTGCTAAGGAGTGGGGGTGGGGAGCCATGACTATTAGAGAGGGCAGGGCCTCAGGAGCTTAGTTACATACCCAGCCTTTGTCCTGTGATACTTGGGCAGCCCTGAGGAGTTCTAATGGGGGAGGGAGCTCAGTGGAAATTTTTTTTGTTCTTCAAGCTGGGGAACTATTGGTCATCTCTGCCTCCATTCTTGACTTTAGTCTTTCTGTCCTAAGCACAAGGGGACATTCAAAGGTGAGGAACAGCTTTTACATCTGTCTAGAGAGACAGGTGGACCAGTGATGTTATATATTCTTTCATTTGTTTAACACATAATAGAGGGTCATTATTTTAATATACTTTTTGTTCGAAACATTTATTGAGGGATCCCTGGGTGGCGCAGCGGTTTGGCGCCTGCCTTTGGCCCAGGGCGCGATCCCGGAGACCCGGGATCGAATCCCACGTTGGGCTCCCGGTGCATGGAGCCTGCTTCTCCCTCTGCCTGTCTCTCCCTCTCTCTTTCTCTCTGTGTGACTATCATAAATAAAAAAAAAAAAAAAAGAAAGAAAGAAAGAAACATTTATTGAGTACCAAGTATAGAACTAGGTAGCTAATACAGCACTAAACAAAGTTCCTTATCTTCATTTGGGTTACTTTACTGTGGATATATTACATGTTAAAGGAAATAAAGTAAAATTTGAAAAAGAAACTAAACTCACTGGTATAACTATCTATGCCAGCCTAAATTTGGGGCAGGCATAATTTGTGATATGTTAACTGAATTTCAGAAGGACATTAAAAGCCTAATTCCCCTCCAGCCCCTTAAATTACATCATACCTCTAAACATCTAGAGCAGTAATACATTTGTATAATGCCTAAGGTCATAAACACAAGGTACCCCTTTTGTTACTTTGGTAACATAAAAGAGTGGAGGGCATCTGTAGATAAATTGACTTGTATTTGCTATGTGTGATTTGTGGCCACTGTCTTCTTAGATTTTTTGCAGACTAAGACCCCAGCAATAGGAAATGGTCAGGTTAACTTAACTTTATCTTCTTCTTGGAATAGTATTGGCTCCAAGTGAGCCTTAACAAACAAAAACAGAAATTATCAAGTGCATTTGGAGAACAGACATTTTTTGTAAGACATGCCTCAAGCACTGGTGATGTTAGTTACCCTGCCAGCATTGACCGTTTTTTCTCACTATCCATTTCCTAATTCTGAAGTTAAATGTTGTCTTAAGATCCAGAAATGCTTTCTGTCTCATTTTCTTTGCATAGTGAGCATCTGGCTATAGGGATTGACTCTGTTTCATCTTTCTTCCTGTTCACACCTGTCTCCTCTTGGTCTCATAGTCTGCTTCTTTCCAGGCTTCCTCAGCTGAAGAAGTCCCATCTCCAGGGTGTTTTGAGCCACTTTCTCTCTCGACATGGCATTTTCACTGGAACATAGAGAAACTTTTGTCTGATTTTTACTCTCTGGCTGTTAATGAAATAGGAGTCTCTGATACATTGTTTTTTTTAAAGTAAGCTCTATGCCCAATGTGGGGCTTGAACTCATGACCCCAAGATCCAGTTGCATGCTCTTTTGACCGAGCCAGCCAGGCACTCCTCTCGTACATTTTTATGGCATAAGTGTTTCTTCCCTTTTAATATTTAAAATCTAAGTGGCCCAAAGAGGGATTTTTCTATTCGAGTTGTTAAGAGCCCCAGTAAATAAGCTGTTATAATGGCATGAAACATGACTACCTAACACCTGTTTGTTTCTACTGTTTGCCGTTCACTTACATACCAGGTGGCATAGCTAACACTCCTCCTTTCTTCTGGTGGAAGTAACATCACCAAATTCTCATATATTTGGAGCCTGGAATATGTGCTCCTATTCTAGCAAAAGAAAGAAGGTCACACTCCTATGATTTATAGCTCATCAAATGGTGAGCAGCCTTCAACTATGCTAGTGGTCCAGATTGGGGTTTTTCTGTTTTTTTTTGTTGTTGTTTCTTAATGGGGAATGGTGTTTTTGGATATATTACAGAGAAATAGTTATTTCTGAGATTCCTCAGTTTTTGTATTTTTTTGGTCTTTAGACACATTCCTTAACTCAGCGGAGGGCTGTCCAGGGTAGAAGAAAACGATTTGATGTGTTATTAGCCGAGCACAAAAACAAAACCAGGGAAAAGGAATCGATTCGCCATCCGGACTCTCAGCAACCAACGCAGCCTCTCAGGGACCCGCAGCCCGCCCCTCCTAGACCTTCACAGGAGCCACACCAAAACTCTCACGGACTGATTCCTTCTGAATCAAAGCCTTTCGTAGCTAGTAAACCTAAACCTCACACCCCCAGTCTTCCAAGGTAAGACAAATCCTCCAACTCTCTCCCCCTTCCGAGAACAGACTTGCAGACGCTGTAAAACCCCAGTGTAGTCATGATGTCAAGGAATGTACATCAGGCTCACTCTAAGAAGATGAGAGACTTTTCTAATTGGGTTTTAATTTAAAGAAAAAAAAACTGCTGAGTTTATCAGTAAGTTTCAAACAGGGCTCTTGGCCAAATGCCAGCAGCAGAATGAAGCAAGAATGATCTGCTCCACCCCTGCTCAGCGTTAAGGGTCTCTTAACCCCATTGAGCAGGGCTGAGACTCGGGTCTTGACTGAAGGTTAGTGACTGGAACATCTCACACAGCTTTGGCAGCAGTTTCCCATTCACTTGTCTCACTTCTTGCAAAACACAGCAGTGGGAGTCCTTGCTGGGAATAGGCATTCAGCCTGAGTTTTTACAGCATCCATTTATCAACCTGTTTTTTTCATTCATTCATTTGAGACCTGGGTCTAAGCATGTATTAGACATTTTAGCTATTTAGTGAGTGATGGATATCAGGGTGTTTTATGAGAATTTACATTCCTCGGAGACTGTGAAGGTGGACTTGAAAATGTGTGTGTTTGTGCTTGTATATTTAACCAAGTTGAAGTAAAGGACTTTGTCCCCAATTTCTAGAGAGAAGGGAAAGAGAAAGCTATAGAGAATGAAGGCCTTTCCTGTTGGCCACTGGCAGCGAGGGCTTCTGCTTAGGAACGTGCCAACGCTTGGTTGCCATGCCTCACCTTTCCCCTCACGTGCCTGCTCCTTGCCATGGCTGCCTGGGGGTAGAAGTGGCTGCTCATGGAACTCCAATTGTGTGTGGTAGAGCCCATCCCAACAAGAGCTCTCTGGTTTGTGAGGAGCACAGTGGAGGAGCAATTGGAGGCGGCTCCCGAGAATGGCCAAGCCCAGGCTGTCAGTTTCTTGGCAAGTTCTTTCTTCAGCCATCTTCTCATTGAAATTTTTCCATCTGTAAAAAAGTAAGCTTAATTGTAGAATCACCAGGCATTTATATATGTGGGAAACATGCAGTACTGCCCCTGACTAGTAGGCTGTAGATAAGCCACCTGCAGTGGCCATGCTGCCTCCTCCTGTCCCTTTCAGGTTTAGAGCACATTGCCAGTTGTCTCATTTATTGCCTTAGTAACCCAAGTCCAGGTAGAATTTGAAGAGGAGTCAAAGAAAGAACGGTCTTAAGTTCCACTTCTATTTCCTCTTCTTTGGGGAGAATAGGAAGAGGCCCCAAGCCACTCAATTGTCTCTAGAAAGGAGAACCATTTACAAGTTACTTTTGGATAAATCTGGCAGACGGCTTCATGTGACATCGTGCGGTTCAGGAGAGTGGATTCTTCACTCCCAGGCCACCTGATCAGCATCTGTTGAGCCAGTGCTAGTGGGGGACCCCAGGCCTCCCTAGGTGGTCTCGGACACATTGTTGTATCTGGGTTAAGGCGGCTGATTCCCAGATGTGTGATCTGATCGGTGCTGCACTTTCTACTCACCAAGGCCTCCAGGCTGCCCTGCTCAGCAAGGTGGGAGTGCCCCCATTGACCCTCCTCCAGTCCATGAATCTCCACACCCTCCCCTGCCTGCCACTGAGCCAGCTTCTCGGTTATCCAGTGAGGAGGGAGAAGGCGATGACAAAGAAGAGTCTGTTGAAAAACTGGACTGTCATTATTCAGGTCATCATCCTCAGCCAGCATCTGTAAGTTCCACATGCACCCCCGTATTGACCCTCCCCACGCAGCAGGGACAGGGCACTGCAGGGGGGCGTGCCAGGGACCTTGGCATGCCCGCACGTGTGGGAGACGCGGTCAAGGTGTGAGTGAGAGCAGCTCAGAACAGGGTGCCCCGGAGGCGGCATGCACTCTCTCCTGGGACACCTCGTGCTTTTCCCTTTCTCTTCCATGAAACTCAGGGCCAGGCATCTTCACTCTCATGCTTCACAGCCTGCGATAACTCAGAGTCAGCTCTTTCATGGTTAGCTCCTTTCCTAAAGGAGAGAGAACCCTCATCGCTTGTGCCACAGTCAGAGTTAGCAAGCATGTGCAATTGTGCTCTCTCTTGCAGTTTTGCACATTCGGGAGCCGGCAGATTGGAAGAGGCTATTACGTGTTTGACTCCAGGTGGAACCGGCTTCGCTGTGCCCTCAACCTCATGGTGGAGAAGCATCTGAACGCGCAGCTGTGGAAGTGAGTGCCTGTCACACCACCTCTGGGGTAGGGAGAGGAGATTGACTTTACCCGGTGCTGCATCCTCTGTTTCTTAGGGGACTGGTTTAGTGAAGATAAGCTTATCTAAAGATTTATTTGTTTGTTTATTTTAGAGACAGCAAGTGGGCCATGGGAAGGACAGAGGTAGAGAGCGAGAGAAGCTTAAGCTGGCACTCTGAGAAGTGTAGAGCCAGACTCTGGGCTCAATCCCACAACCCTGAGATCTTCTCAGAGCCTTTAAGGGGGCATACTGTCCACTGTAACTCTCAAAGCAGGGGCTATCATATATAATGTGGAACATCTCCCAGGTTCCTTTGACCCAGGAACCTCTTTCAGGGGAGCATCGTGGGGAACTAATGTTTGGTGGAACCTACTTTGGGAAACCTTGAGTTTTGCTAATGGAAGGGGGCTATCCAGTCATCCATATGTCACTCCATAGTCTCCATTTGGGCATCATTTACTAGTGACTTCCTGAGTGGACTCTGCCAGTATATCCATTTGCCTTGCTGCCTTGGTTTCCTCATAAAAGTCAGGAAGCTGGTCAGGGGCCTCAGATAGTCCACAGTCTGAACCAGCTTCATGATCATCAATAGGACTTGCATTTGTTCTCTTAGAAAAATCAAACCCAGAGCAATGCTGCTCTGCTTTTCTGTTTCACATTTCTTCCTGGTTTTTACTAGATAAGAGACTCCTCTTCCCTCTTTATGAAGACACATTGTCTTTGCTCAGAAAAATGAGTCTAGGCACTGGTTTGTTGGGATTCTAGGGGGTCCCTCCACATCAGAACCCTCCCAAATAGTTGAAATCTCAGCTTCTTATTCTTTAGACTACCTGTTAGGACTTGAAGAGTTCATTGAGCTCCCTGAGCTGTGCGTTTAGTGTACTCCTAAGAGTTTAGAAGGAGGAAATCATGCCTTTGTGTTAACTTGAGCTTTGGTTTTAAAAAAAGCCACTACAGTGGAGACAGACATTTTGCTCAGTGATGAACTGGCACACAGGCCTGGGGCAGACAGGAGCTTGGAGAAAGGTGCTGGGAGTCAGACTGACCAACAGAGGCCAGCTTCTCATGTAGCCCCTGAGATTTTCTGGAAGGAGCTCAGCACTCCTCAGCTTAAGAATGGTCGTCAGGTGGCATCTTTGATGTACTCAGGGAAATTCCCACCATGGTCCAGGTCCCATCCTACTGGCTCAGCCAAAAGTCTTCCCTTCCAGGAGGTCCCCCCAGTATGGGTGGCAGGCTTCTCAGTCCCTTACCTTTTAGTTGTGGTTAATGTGGGGATAAATGGAAATGGGATTTGAATATGGCCATGAAATAAGTCCTCTTCAGTGTATGGAGTCTGAACAGTGCTGAAATTAAACCAGCACTTTGTCCGGAGTATGGCCATGACCCAAGAGGCCAGATCTGAGCTCCTGTGGTTTCTGTCAACTGCTAGTCCGCTATTGATTGGGGACTGCTATTCCACATCCCCTAAGGAAGGGATGGGATCCTTAGCAAAGGGTTTTTCTTTGGTGGGGGTGAGGGATGGGATGGGGGGCATTGGTACATAATTTTTTAGATCGGTAATAAATTCACTTGGGTAAAAAAAAGAAAACTGAATGTAACTTTTTACATTCATAAAATTATACTTTCATTCATAAAGTATATACTTTACATTCATAAAGTATACAGTCCAAAGTTGTAGTCCCCCTGGTCCCCACATTCCTGTTTCCCTTCCCACCCTCACAGACAAGCATTTTTGTGAATTGCGTGTATATCTTTGCAGAGTTCATTTATACAGACATAGGTCAGCATGCTACATTTTCTTTGTCTTGTTTTTATATGAAAGGTAATGAGTGAATTAAAAGACTTTTTTTTTTTTTTTAATACCAAGAAGCAATATATTGTGCAGATAGATCCGCATCTCTTCCTTTATGGAAGCTTTTCATTTTCCTGTGATTTAGTTCAGCACCTTTAGGTTTCGTCTCCCTGAGCCACCTGGTGGCCGCAAGCGGCCACTGCACCCAGTGAGCAGGAGCGGTACTACACCCCTGCATGCACCTTGTCAGAGGGCCAGTGCCCACGAGAGCATGGGGATCTTGTTGAGATAGAGATTCTGATGAAGTAGGTCTGGGTGGGGTGCAGGAACTCCTCATTTCTCATGAGTCTTTCTGATAACTTCCATGTTTGTCCTCTGTGATAGGTATGGAATAGAGCCCAACTTCTCAGTTTTTGCTTCATGTTGGGATCTCCCGGAGAGATTGAGAAACTTCTCATGTCTGGACCCTGCCCCACAGGGATTTGGGTGTGGTCAATGTGGATGTATTGGTCTCTAGGGCCAGGACTCCACTCGTGAATGGGGTGGTTACAGCTGGTACAAATGCAGTAAATAGTTCCTTTTTATTAATAGCTGTAGGCCTTACAGAGCATTTGGAAGGCCCTTCGGCAGCAGTTTAGGACACCTCTCATTTGGAGGATGAGGAGCTGGAGCTCTGGCTAGTGCAGTGCCTGGACCTGCCAGAGCTGCCCCATAAAGTCAGGAGCAGGCTGGTATCCACACTTGCCTTCCATTCGGGCCATTTTCTGTGTTGTTACCTTGGTGTTAATTCTATCATAGTGGTTTTTGAAATTGTGGTTTGTCCTATTTTAAAATCAGAGCAAAAATAAAAGGGGACCTCCCTGATTTGCCATTTGAATAACCCTCTTATCCTCAGACGGGTACTTAGCCCAGTTATTTAACCAAATACATTGTTCCAGCACTGACTGGAAGCCCCCTGAGATGTGATTTAAGGCCATAGGTAGGACCTAGCAGTTGCTATTAAATTGCTGTGCCCTTCCTTTCTCCTCACTTATTCATGAATTCTTTCAACATCTGTGTGCCTTTTGAACTCCTGACACTGTGCTGGGCACTGGGGCTACAGTTACAAATACGCTGTGGACCGCTCTGTCTGTGGAGGAGTTAGACAGGGATCTGCAGTCACACATGGAAACTGCCTTGAGTGCCCCCAAGTCTGGGAACAGGCAGTGTGCGTCTGTAGAAAACTGAGCAAGTCAGGATGGTCAGGACAGATTTTCTAAGGAAGTGGTGATGGGCTGAAACTGAAGGGTGAGCAGAATTTGGAGGCAGAGTGCTGTAGGCAGAAAATGGACAGTGCCTCACATCCAGGCCTGTTTTGCAATGTAAGAAAGGTCAGTGGGTAGAATCAGGGATCTGGGGTGGGGGTGGGGGTGGATGGGAAGAGGCAGTGTGAGGTTGGGCACCAGAAGTGAGTGAGGTACACAGTGCTTTACAGACCATTATTCTGAGAGCCCCCAGCAGGCAGTAAGGAATTTGAAGGAGAGAAATGGCAGGATTGGCTGTACATTTCAGGTTGATCTTTCTGACAGGGGTGTGCTACCCCATGCCAGAAGGGAAGGGCATGTCCAGCTGAAGGTTTCTGTGAGTGGCTGTGGTGGTTATTACTCACTGCCCTCTCATTTGTAGGAAAATCCCACCCGTGCCCAGCACCACCCCACCCGTCTCCACACGTGTTCCTCACCGGACAAACTCTGTGCCGACATCACAATGTGGGGTCAGCTATCTGGCAGCAGCCACTGTGTCTACATCCCCAGTCCTGCTCTCGTCCACCTGCATCTCCCCAAATAGCAAATCGGTACCAGCTCATGGAACCACACTAAATGCACAGCCCTCCACCTCTGGGGCAATGGATCCTGTGTGCAGTATGCAATCCAGACAAGTGTCCTCTTCATCCTCGTCTCCCTCCACACCCTCTGGCCTTTCCTCAGTGCCCTCCTCCCCTATGTCCAGGAAACCTCAGAAGTTGAAATCCAGCAAGTCTTTAAGGCCCAAGGAGTCTTCTGGTAACAGCACTAACTGTCACAACGCCAGTAGCAGTACCAGCGGCGGCTCAGGAAAGAAACGCAAAAACAGCTCCCCATTGTTAGTTCACTCTTCCTCCTCCTCCTCCTCGTCTTCTTCTCATTCCATGGAGTCTTTTAGGAAAAACTGTATGGCACACTCTGTGCCTCCCTACCCCTCAACGATAACATCTTCCCATGGCATGGGCCTCAACTGTGTGGTAAATAAGGCAAACTCTGTGAGCGTCCGGCACGACCAGTCAGGGAGGGGGCCCCCAGGTGGGAGCCCCGCTGAGTCCATCAAGAGGATGAGTGTGATGGTGAACAGTGGCGACTCCACGCTCTCCCTCGGCCCATTCATCCACCAGTCCAGTGAGCTGTCCGTCAACTCCCACACCAATTACTCACACTCTCACACTCCTCTAGACAGACTCATAGGAAAGAAAAGGAAGTGCTCGCCTGGCTCAAGCAGCATCAACAACAGCAGCAACAAACCTACAAAGGTTGCCAAATTGCCAGCCATGAACAACGTGCACATGAAACACACAGGCGCCAGCCCAGGGGCACAGGGACTGACGCACAGTCCCCTTCTCCATCAGGTAGGAAATGGACTGTGAGCCCTGTGGGTGTGCCTGTCTCCTCTCCCACAAGCCCTTCCACCAACTCAGAGATCGGTGCGGTGTGGTTGGTCTGTTTGCTGTAAGCACATGTCCAGCTTCACAGTCTGTTTTCACAAAGGAAGGGTTCATGGCCATATGAAGGTGAAACAGTGTGTCTCTGCCAGAATTTCTTATGACCTGGGAGGTGCTCCTGGGTTAGGAAATCAGGATGTACATTTCAGTAGCCAAAGCTGCTGAAGCCATCCTACGTGATGGCGGGGTCCCCTGCATAGCCAGTGAGTGCAGTCCCAGGGAAGCACGTGTGTCCCATGACACCATTTGGGGAGGATGCAGGCTGTGTGTTCCTAGAGAGTGGCTCTCTCGTTTGTTCCTCTGAAGAACGCTGGCCTGCAAGCACACTGATCTAGAAAGGGATGCTTTAAATTTTAAGAAAGAAAGACCTTTTAATAATTTTCCCATCAGAGGATTTCAGATTTTCTGGTTAACTTTCTCCTTATCTTTTCTCCCAGTTTTCTGAGGAGGCAGGGGAGCAGCAGTGAGTGGGCAGAGACAAAGACTAAAACCTCCTTGAAGTTAGGAGAGTAGAAATGTGGATGCAGGCCCATTTATAGAGCAGTGGCTAACTGGGTGTCAGGTTCCTAATGATCCGTGTCTTTGTGTCTTGCCCTCTGTGTTCCCCCCTCTTCCACCTGTTACGTTGTCCCCGACCCCTCTTCTGGAGCTGCTTCCTCCATTCTGAGTCCCAGTTCATCTCTCATCCTGTCCCTTCACTCATCAGCATATCTCCTGTGCCTGCTTGTGTGCTGGGATTTCAGCAGCACCCTCTAGAGCCCTGATTTACAGGGTGAGGCTGTTCTGTCCTATTTTATTCCTTACCTCCAGAACTTAACTCAATTGGCAGGTTGGGACTTTGTCAGAAAATACCAGGATAGAGTTCCCTCCCCTATCTGTGTGAACTAATTTTTTTTTAAAGATTTTATTTATTTATGATAGACATAGAGAGAGAGAGAGGCAGAGACACAGGCAGAGAGAGAAGCAGGCTCCATGCCGGGAGCCCGACGTGGGACCCAATCCCAGGGCTCCAGAATCGTGCCCTGGGCCAAAGGCAGGCGCTAAACCACTGAGCCACCCAGGGATCCCCCCTGTGTGAACTAATTAATGCCCAGTGCCAAAGGGGTGGGGAAAGAATTATCCATGAATTTAAATAGCAACTTTTAAAATTCCTCTCTTTGAGCCTCAAGTATGTAGGAGCCATTTGTATGTTTCTTGGCTCCTTGGGTGAGGGGTCCCTGGATATAGGAAAATTAGCTTTTACCTCTTGGTTTGTAGTTATTCGTTATAGTTTATCAGCATAAAAATACAGTTCAAATCCTGCAGGAAGTGGTATAGCCATCCTTTAAAAACTTCCTTCTGAGTGTAGCTTCCTGAACCTGCAGGAGGCATGTTCCATTGTGTTGTGATGCCCAACACATTCTCTGCCTAGGTGCATCCATGCCTACAAGTGACAGGAGAGGAGAGGAAGAGGCCGGTGGGTGCAGCAGAGATAAACTGCTTGTGGAAAATGAGGGAGTGGGAGCCCATTTCCGCAGAGCAGGTGCTCCCAGAAACTTGTTACCAGTTTGAAACTGCAGATCTGGACTTGCATGAGAAATTTGGCCATTTTTAAAAGCTATGTAGTATTTTGTTCTGGAATATGATACAGTCCACACACCTTTTGACCAGGTATGGCTCTTGAGCTACCAGTTTGCCACCTGATAGCCACCAGCGAGGAGGGCTCTGCCCCACTAAGACAGTCTTGAGTTTGGGTTCTTAAAATTAGTTTTAACTTAAGTGTGTGTTTGAGAAAGATTTCCTCTCTGCAGTAGAAAACCTTTTTATTCTGCATAAATTTTCTGTGGGGGGTCCATGGCTAGAGATTGGAAGATCGGTGAGCCCCTAAAAAAGCTGGATATTTTCAATATTTGTGCTCATTTATATGCAGGAGGGATCCTATAGCTTTCATCAGAGTCTCCAAGCATGATTCCAAAATGCTTGAGAGAGTGCTGTTCCCGGAAAAGTAGGAGCCTCAACTCCCTGTATCTTATGGAGCGGATTTTAATATTAATTTATTTTTCAGAAAGAGAGGGAGGAGCAGAGGGAAAGGGATAGAGAGCATCTCTCAAACAGACCTCATGCTGTGCATGGAGCCCAGTGCAGGGCTCAGTCCCACAACCTTAGATCATGCCCTGAGCCAAAACCAAGAATCAGACACTGAACTGGCTGTGCCACCCGGGTGCCCCTGGTGGAGCTGATTTTAAAACAGAGATAACTGCGCTGGTAGAGGCTCCCTAAACCTGGGAACGTGGCGGGCTGTCCTGGGAAGCCTGGCCGATGGAACTTGGCAGCTTTGCCCCTCCACTCTCACCTCCCCCGGCTGGTCTGCTCATGGCCTCTGCCGCCAAGGGCTTAGATAGCTCACTGTGGTCACTGGGGGCCTGAGTTCCCCTGCCCTGGGCACAGGCGCTGCCTTGGGTGTGAGCTCTCACACCTGTGTGAGCACCCCAAACAACCTTGTTCAGTTCTCACCTGACAATCTGGAAGACCTTTAAGGAAAGGAAATCAGCAAATAAAACCACAAGGCAAACATGAGAGCCTTCTCGCTAAGCTAGCAACCTGGCCTGCATCTTTTCTAGACAGTTTCCTAAAAGTCAGACTTTTAGAATGATTGTGCCCAAGGGCAGTGAAGGCTAAGGCGGAATGCCATAGCTGAGCGCTCCCGGCCCCGGAGAGCGGAGCGGTGCGCGGTCTTCGGCACGCTCAATGGTGTTGGGCGTCGGGGCGGTGCCGCGTACAACTGCTTACTTACCTTTTCATTGTTTCCCTACCCCCTCTTTTTTGAAAGCCAAAGGCACGTCCCTGACAGCAGAAAATAGCGCGGGGAGGAATAATCTGGACACTTTTGACGACAAGTTACACCTCCACTCAGCACTATGGACTCCACGATGCCTTTGAGTCTGTTTTCCCAACCTCCTGTGGGCCTCGAGGGTAGAAATCTGCCTGCCGGGCTGTTGTTGTAACGAGGATTTCCCTGAAGCTATGTCTGTAGCAGTGAGTACTTGTAAAGGACACTGGATCAAGTTCAGCCACCGAATTGCTTTTATCAGTGTTAAAGTGGTCTGGACTGCTTGCTACCAATCTGTGAGAAGTTGTTGCTTTGATTTTTAACTTGTAGTAAATTATGGAGCCACTCTTTGAGTAGATTGGCTGGGCGAAAGAATGTCTTGGCAAGAGCATTACTGTAGACTTTTCTCCCTCCTCCCCCTTCCCGTCCCAGTTCTTACCTTACACTGTCTTCTGTAGGTCACCCTACAGCAATTAGGTACCCCATCTGGAGACACCTTCCAGAGGAGAGCAGAGCTGCACCATGAGCAACCCTCCAGAGAAGCAATGAGTTGTTAGGTTTTTAGAGCAATATTCTGGGAATGGAATATGGACGGTAGCACGAGGCACCATGACAAAATAGCTTGTATTTTTCCCCAGCCTTTTGCAAGTAATTTGGGGCAAGACGGTGTCAAAAGTTTCTGACTTACAAACTGGTTTAAAGCCATCGATGCCCAGAGAGCAAGTCTACCACATTTTAGAGGCTTACTTTTCATGGTACAAAAGCAATTCTGTGTGATTTTTTTTTTCTTTTAAGAAAATGCAAATGCAAACTAGTTTTGATAACGGAAAGCCAAATTTTAGTTGGGGGGAGGGAGGTGGATAAAATCAGTATGGGGGAAATGTTTTTCCACAATTTCCAAAGAGATGGAATTTTTTATCCTTTAAGTTTTCGTGTTACACATTACACAGTACGGCAGATTGGCTTGGTTGCCCTGCCCAGTCTCCTCTATTTTTAAAAAAATGCCTTTGTAAAGTGAAGTTATTAGGATGCAGCAGAAACTGTCATTCACTAAGTCATTAAGATACTTCATGTTTCCAGGGCACTGTGTGCATTACCCTCAGTTTCTGTGGCTACCGTCCTGGGACTCAGTGTACACTTCTGCTTTCAGCACTCCCCGTATCGTGTGTGTGTGTGTGTGCACTCCTCTTCCTCTCCATACGTTCATTTGGATGCCCCTGGGTGGGGAGTAGGCACCCAGGGAGGGGCGTAGGCAAACATGATGTGATGCAGATGTTTCCCCAACAAACCCTCCTTTCTGGGGATTAATACCAGCCATTTTTCTGAGAGAGTTTTGGAGTCCCTCGAAGTTATTTATTTATTATTATTATTTTATTATTATTATTATTATTATTCAAATACCCCATCCCAAAAGAAAGAGCTTACTGTGTTAAAACATCATTGCTTGAGAAGGTATCATTGAATTTGGGGGATGAGCTGGGGCATTTTAACTGGTGATTCCATGATCATAGCTCCTGAAATAAGAACCCAGGCACTTTTACTTAGAACACACAAAGTTGCTGAACATCACAGGGTAAATTTCCCCAGGCTCCGATCATTGCTCTGGGCAGGGCCTGGACCAAGCCAATGAGTGCATCCTTTTTTTCCCTACAATTCTTGGGTTACAAACTTTAGTTTCAGGGAATTTCAAGTCAACAAGTAGAATGAATAAATACTTGGTTACCAGCCTAATAATGTGAATTGCTACAGAATTATTCTTATTATGTAAGGCAACAAAAACTTTATGCAGATACTTTAGATATAAATTGTTGTAAAATATTGATTTTTTTTAAAGGAAGGGGAGAAGTGTATCTTGTTCACTTATTATGCAATCAGTAAATATTTTTTAAAAATGATACTATAGGAGAGCTTAGTAAGGAGAGCGCATGGATGGGCCAGTTTGGTGTAGTTAAGGAGAAATCAGCCTGGTTGTTCCATCCCAGTGGAGGGAGAGAAGGAAGTAAGAGGGAATCAGAACGTACTTTGTTGATTCCTTGGTGACAAGTGCAATGGGGTTTGGGTAGAATTTATTTTCAGAGCCAAGGGGACTTGATGGATATAAAGTTGCTTTTAGCGATGGAATTTATAGACAGATCATGTTGTTCCGAAAGATGTGAATAGGATCCACGATAGCAAGTTGATTCAGAATTATGTAGATATTTAGATACGCGAGTGTTGATCATTTGATTTCTTAGACTGAGGTTTTAATTGAATTTCACTATGTCTCCCGGGAGAACACAGGTCATCGGGACTAGGAAATTAGCCATTTTGGATTCTGCTTGCCACAAACAGACCTATTCTAAACAGTGCTATTGAATTTTAGACTGTTCAAATATTTTATTTTCTCCTACAACTACTTTTTATTATAATGAACAATTAAGACCATTTAAAACACGGGAGTACAAGTATTTTTTTGAATTAAATTAACTTGCGAAAACCAAATTTGCAGTGGTTGGGTTGTTTCTAGACAGACTTTGGTATCAATTTAAAACCAAGATAATTTTTATATTCTTTCCAATAGAATTTCATGACAACTCCTGCAGTTTTCTTAACCTACAAAAAAAAAAAAAGTGCTGCATTGATGAACAAAGAATTCTACAAAACCTACTTTTGTATCTTTATTTTGGAATTTCTTGTTCTATTATAAATATGGAAGTATCCCTATTTCAGAAGACATATTTTGTTAAAAATGAATTGTACATATTTAAATATGTATTTTTGCACAGGTCTTTTTTTCTGATATCCTGTTTTGGTACAATTGAGATCATCTAGTATTTATTTATTAATTAATAAAAGTAAATACCTTTTTATAATTTGAAGTGGTTCACTGCCAAGCCAATAGTTCTAGAACCTGCCTCCTTTACAGTTTAAGGGATGCCTCTGTTCTGTGAAAGTCTTTTTGTCCCTTTTCATGTCTCGGGAGCGGATTCATGCCGATTAAGTGGGCATTGCTTCTCTAGTTGCCTGATTCCCGATAGACTACATGTAACAAAGTGACACACTGCTTTTCTTTTGTTCGTGTTTTATGTGTGAGTGTGAGTGCGCCCGCGTGCCTGTGCGTTTGGATGTGTACACTCTGAGCACATGTGTGTTCATGTGTGATGTGGTTTAAAACTAACGGGAAAAACTGAAAGTGCCTGAACCTAGTTTTAAGCTTCGACAGATTCTTTAAAAAGACTTGAATGTTCAGTTCAACTTTTGGAGTTTGCTTTTTCCACCTAAATATTGTTTCTAAAATCTTAGTGGAGGAGATGAAAACCACCAATGCTGGTAATTTTAAGAGGTGTTTTAAAATTAAGGCCTTTTGGTTCACAGTAATTGAACTGGTGATGGATTGCCTGGTGGCACCAAGGGTTACAAATCTTTTTTGTCAGCCAGCAACTTACACAATATGTCCGTTTTGTTATTCACTCATGAAATACAGAGTTTAAATAGAATATTTAAAAGATTTTATATTCCAAAAATATAATACAAAGTACCTCTGAGAACATTGAAAAATGTATAATTTGAAAAATGTAACTTATTAAAGGCAGCTGTCTTCCTGCAAGAGTTCTGTTGCCAAGGAATTTCTTACTATCTCATTCTGTCCGGGGCCGGGGGGGTGGGGGGACTTTGGAAAATGATTGTTAAAGTTTCGTTGTTTAGCAGAAAAATAATCATTTTTACATTTTGTGCAAAACATTCTACATTTTCAGATCATTTAAATGAGCACTACATACTGTCAGTGTGAATGTAGGGCCTTGAAAAGCATTTTGCTGTTTTGTTTTTGTTTTTGTTTTTTTGAGCTTGGTTATAAAAGCAATCTCCTGTGTTAAAATGTGTGAATAGTTTGATAATTTGTACACATAATCAAGAGCATCTCAGCTGGACTTTGTGTTGGCTGCTGTATAGAACATGAACAAATGTCAAGGGATAGAAAATTACTTTGGATATTTAAAAGAGAAGAAATATATAGTCTATTTGTTTTGTAACAAGTTTCTGTAAATAAAATAATTTATACTATTTATAAGAAAAGGTTGTGCTTTGCTTTATGAGAAATTAGTTTGTGGAACAAACATGTTACTAAATGGGCAATAAAATTAGGACTTCTCAATAAATGAGGTTGGCTGCATGAAATATTTTACATGTTTCTGCCTCGTGACACTAAACCCCTTTCAATCTAGTCTGACTTGTCTTCATTTTTGGCATCAGACACCCTTGTGAAGCACCTTTGTTTTCCTTCCCTTCTGTGTAAGCTAAATACCAGGCTTAAGATATTTCCATTCTTGGACACAGAGCTTTGCTTTGGATAAATTAAGAACTGGGATGCCTCTGTTAAGGGATGCCTTAACTGGAACTGGGTAAACTGTGAATACTGCTGCATTCTTACCCTGCAGATTTGTCAACAAAAGGGAAGTTGATAGATTGAGAAACACGTACTCTCTGTACTTGCTTATTTATGTGTCAATTTGATGGCATGTGGTCAGTTTTCGTTTTTCTCCAGAGGTAAGTTTTCTAACCGCGGCTGGTCTGATCCCTTCCTGGCTCTTATGTCCTTCTTCCCTCACTGGCAGTGCAAGCGCATTTTGGGATTACTCAGAGCACAACATAATCTTTTATCTCTCGAAATTGGGCCACTTTTTCCATTTGCAGATCATTCAAGAAATTAAAAATTATTTTTGTTGCTTCAAATAGTAAGGGAAGCAACTGATGAGTGTTGGAGAAAATATCCATAGAGTATTTGGAAGAGTCAGTCTGGTTTCAACCCCCACCCTGCGATGCACTTCCCATTCCCTCCTTAGATCCACCAGCTCCCTAAAACCATTTCTAATAAGCATTTTTCACCTTAGGAGCCCTTCTGAAACTTCCTGGGAAGAGGTTCGCTCAGTTTCTTAACCCTCTTTACGGTCCATTCCCCTTTAGGTAACCTGGCTGTGGACAGCAGGGACTCTCCCGATTCAAGGGCAGGGGCTTGGCAGGAAGGCAGAGTAGGAAGGTCAGTGTCAGCAGAAGGAGCAGACTGGGCATGCACAGCTGGGGAACAATATGGAAGAGAACCATTCTGGGTGAGGCGTCTGGAAAGGAGGGGCTGAAGGGTTGCAGAAGTTGGCACCAGATTGTCAAGGACCTCAGGGGGTCATGGGACCTTCATCCTCAGGAATACACTTTAACCAAATGTAACTGTCAGAGCCCAGAGATTCCCAGGGCCCATTGCAAGCGTGCTGCAGGTGCCAAAAGTAAAAGCCATTCAGATCTTTCCTGGGGGCCAGAAAAACAAAGCATTTAATCTCTTTTCCTTTTTCATGCACTTTCCTCCCTTTTGCCTCACACCTCATCCTTCATACCTTTCCCTCTTCTTCCTCCTCCCCCTCCCCATCTTAATCAAAAAGATCTCTCCTAAATTAAGCCTACAGTGCTCCTCCTTCTTACCATACTTTCTACTCAGTCCTTTCTTTCTAGTAAGAAACTCTTGCTCCTGTTGCTAATGGGGTTTAATTAAACTTGTCTTTCACCTCGTAAGGCTATGTGATTCTTGGCACTTCCTCCCCTCTTTTCCACAGCCAAAGCCCAGGGACCAAATGTGGCACTAGCAGAGGTTCTTTTTCAGGAGAGGGTGATACTGAGCCAAAGGAAAAAGTTTTCAGGATGAAGGGGAAAATCAAACACATAATTTAATCCTGTTTTTGTTTTTTTAAATCCCCATCACATAAGGGCTCTCCAGTAACTACAGAGGACAGCACGGACAGGTGAGAACCTTGGGACAAAGATAAGTTACAGTGCTGTTGTAATAATCCAGGTAAGAGCTACTGAGTTTCCAAACCAAGGCAGTGACTCTGTGGATAAATGGAGAACTGATGGCAGAGATACTTTAAAGGTAGAACCAATAGGTCTTGAGGCCTAATTATGTTGAACGTTAAGGGGAAGTTTGAATCCAAGATAATACCGAGCTGGTTGATGAGCCCTATATATATGATATACGACAAAGGAGGAAAAACCTACAATGATGAACTTGGGTAGCCACTGGGAAACTCAAATTTAGTATCCAGTGGCTCTATGTACAGTCTGGATGGAGCTTAAGAGAAAGGTGTGCGCTGTAGAAGGAAGGGTTGTCTTTCATTCTTAGGTGGTAAGGGAGGTCATGGGAGCATGAGCTTACTTAGGGAAAATAGGTTAACTATTAGATTTGGCTTATTATTTTATTAAAATAATGCCCATCTAGTTGGATGCTTAAAATGCTCACTGAAGCATTTCGCAGACACGATCTCTCACAGCCCCCACAGGTAGGCATTTGCTATCTCACAGCCCTGTAGATGGGGAACATCTAAGAAGGGAAGTGTCTTGCCTACGGTTCCACAACTACTGGTAGCATTGCCGGGCTGTGAATTCACGTCTGTCAGATCAGTGGTTCTTCATCTTTTTTTTTTTTCTTTCTTTCTTTCACAGATTCTGAGAACCACATGAAAGGAGTACGGATTCTCTCTGCCAGAGGCACAGACACACCACATTTTATTTTTCATGTCCAGGACGTCACAAACCTAAAGTCCATCCTCCATGGCCCAGGGAAAGAAGAAATCCCAAGATGAAACCCTGGAGAAGCAGCGTATTTTTGGTGAAGAAAGAAGATGAGGTTGAAATTAAGATATTTGGTTAGAAGTTTAGACAGTTGACTCCATCGTAATTAACCTTACCAACCCACTCAGGTAATGTTTTTATTTTTTGTTTTTCCTCCTGCATCTTTCTCCAGGATAATGGGAACAATAGGTATTAGTTGAGTGGAAAAGTTAGAACTTGGGCAGGGAGCTTGCCAAGGAATGAAAACATCTGAGGGTATGGCTAAGTCATTGATGATGGCCTTGATTGGGGAATTCAAGGAATAGGACTGGAAGCTGCCATGTAGTGAATCCTTGCAGATGTTCTCAAGACATTTATTTGTAATTGCCCTCTTGATAAGTCTTAAGTCTTCCTACCAGGTAACTTGTCTGTGATGAGACAAGTGATTTAATCCTGGTCACAGAGCTAAGTCCATGTTCAATTCAATATGGCTGGTAATGGAAGAGAGGCTGATAGAGGTGGATCCAGGTTACAGAGTTATGCTAGTGGCGTAGCACTTCTAGGGACAGTTCCGGAAACAGCAGCTGTTCAGAGGTGCTTGGGATTCCTGGGTCCTGGGCGAGACCACAGCAGAGGGTAGAAGTGGTCTGGGGGAAAAGAGCACTGAAGTTCGGGCTAAGAAACTGCGAGGCGAGGATCTGACTGTGTAGGTTGCCAGTTCCAAAGTAGTTGGGGTTGAGAGGAAAAGAGCCAGCTGCTGGGTCTGGTGTGAGTAGGATAGAGCAGCTTGGAGGTCTGAGGGCAGTGAACACAGTGAGTTGGTGGTATAGGTGGGTGGTGAGCAGCTTCAAAGAGAAAGCATTTTGAATGAGGGTGGAAAGCCCATGGTCAGGAGAGAGCAGCCGAGTGGGAAACCATGGACTTAGCGTTGGCTCCAAGTTCCTGAGGTCTATATGAATGAAGAGCCTCTAAGCCAGAGGAGGACGTCAAGAAATGCAGAGTCCTCAAAACCCAAGTGTTTCATCAGCCTGGACACTGGTGAACCCAAAGGGGGTTGCTAAAGTTGTCAGGACGCCACCTACTGGCGGTCTTGACTACAGTGGTCATTTCCCTGAGGCAGTCTCAGGTGACGCAGATCATTCCTTGGCAGGTTGTCCCTTTTACTTCTCACCCCTAGTCTGTACAGGGAAAACTATTGCAAAGTTTTCTGAATGACAAAAGGTAACCCTCCCCCTTGACCGTGTATTTCAAGGTTATGGTGGCTGGACCAAAGTGCTACGATTCTTAATATCTTTTGTAGGCCTTCAGAAACACAAGAATAATGCAGACCTGTGGTTTTCTACCTTTGAAACCCACGTTAGTGCTTAATCAAGGTTTTCACATTTTTTTCCAGAGATTGAACTTTATTCCCCCATTGCCATTGAGGAGGTGGCAGCTTTGCTACAATTTGTAATTTGTACAGCATCAGGAAAGTGGGAGATTGAGTGCCCTTCCTTTCTCTCTCCTAATCATGGGGAAACCTAGTATTCCAATTATCAGCCTATTAATCCTCTTTAGAAGACAGGTTAAAAACACCAAGGATTAATTCAAAGCTATGCAATTTACTAATTATCAGTAACCTGCTGATCAGTTAATACCAGTGCTTGGTCAGATTACTGAAGGACTGTGTTCAATCATAAACCGTGTACACCATGGGGGCACGGGGGTGGTGATGCAGAAACTAGAAGCTCCAATGCCCCTGCGGTCAGCAGGCTGTGTTGCAGCGTACACGCCAGTCCGGCAGCGTGACTGGGAAATGGAGCCCAGAGTCAGCCTAATCTGTCCCTTATTCCACAGAAGCTGGATAGCTGATTTTTAGTTTTCAGATGATGACCAAAAATGAGTGTTTATCTTGAAAACTAACTGGGGGAAGGGAGGGCTTGTAGGCAACCACTATGCAACTTTGTGTCCTTAGGAGGCATCGTTCGCCCTCCTGGCTTTGGTTTTTTGAGCTTTTTGATCCCCACCTGTGGGAACCATGGGCCTGGACCTAAAATTTCTGACAAGGCTTTTATCGGGTTTAAAATACTCTACCCGTCCATAAAGCAGACAGCATTCCATAATTATGTAATGAACGTGTATTTGTTAAAAACCTGTTTAATCTCCAGATCAAATACAAAAAACCTCAAATTTTCAGCTTATCCTATACAAGCTGGCTGAGGTGGCCCAATTTATGTCATGTGACAGGAGCCTTTCTACTAACATTCAGTGTGCTAAGACATACATGCTGTGGTATACTGCTTTCGTGTGTAGTGCTTTAGTAGTGTTTCACAATGGCGAACTAACTGCATAAGCCTCATTTCTCCCAGCATCAGGCAGGTGTGGGGAGAGCTAGGACCAAAATTTGGTTTTTCTAGCTTTAGTGTAAGTGCTATGTCCCCCATTCCATATGGCTTCATTTAAAAAGCCTATGTTGGATTCTAACTTTATTTTCACCTCCAAGCTGATACTTTGAAGTTAACAGTGTTCCCCTGGGATTTGTGATTACATAGAATAACTTATTAACAATGTGTAACAGACTCCAGTTTTGTATTAAAAACTACATATGCCTAGGATTAAATGTGGAGAGCATCAAAATGTTGACAGTAGCTATCCATGCCAGGTGGAACCACAAAGCAACCACCTTTTTTCAATTTCTGAAAAATCTTCAATTTTTTTGCAGTTAGCTTATTTTTCAGAAAAATGCAAAAAATGGGACTCCCTCACCTCAAAACCGTAGTTTCCTTTGTATTTTATTCTACTAGATCTTTATCAACTCCTCAGTTTTCAGTTTTCCTATCATGCACTGGGAATGGATAGCACTTGTTTCTTTTAGCTTCTCTTACCCTGTCATCTTCACCTATTAATTAAAGGCAGTTGGGCTGAAATAGTGAAAGAAAAATAAAGTCAAGTACATTTTAAGCAACCCAGGGGAGAGTTTTGAGAATTTCCTGTCTAAACCAAGAGTAAGCCTAAGCCTTGAATGAAAAGCCAGAATTGCTCTGTGACTGCTTCGGTCCCAATGGTCTTAGAGGTGGGAGTCCAGGGAAAAGCCTGTTTTAAGAAACTGACATTTCACTCCTACTTTTTTCCCTTTAGTGTGAACTACAATGAGTCAATTTGCTAGGAACAACTCTTGTAATTTTTAAATGGACACAAGGAACGCAAAGAGTTTTCAATGACTTGGATTTAACAAATTGCCCGGATTTTCAGGATCACAAGTCTGTAGAGTCCTTATAGTCACATTTTCTTTAAGAAATTATAGTGGATCATTGTTAAAGTTTTTGATACATAAGCAGTTTTGGAAATGCGTAAGTGGATATTCCTAAATGCTTAAGGCATATGCAGCACTTTCTGCGCCTGCAGGAAACCGCTCAGTGCACAGCTCCAGGCACGTTGCTTTCCTTGGCAGGTCATCATCCCACAGCCCCTCCTGCAGTACCATCCTGAGGATAATTGAGGTAATCCTGCCAACACGCTGCCATTAAGGGTGTCCTTGGCAATCGTGCTTTGATTTCCTAGCCTTATTTCTAGTCTACGTAGGCTTTTGTCATGAATGAATGTTGAATTGTATCAAATTATTTTCCATGGACTAAGAGGTTTTCTTCTCTGATGTTAACAAATGATTCCAATCAGCATATAACTAAAACACCATGTAAACTAAAAAGAGCATACTTCTCTCCCCCCTTCCTTCTACAGTAAAATTGCCATTTCCCATCTAACTCAGCTCCACCAAAACTTGTGTGTCAGAGTCAGGATCCAAAAGCCTGGGATCATCCCAGACTTTTTCTCACCCTCTCCCCCATTCTAATCTTGCAGCAAACCCAGCTGCCCCCCCGGGTCCATGACACCAGTATCAGGCATCTCCTGCAGCCAGTGACACTTAAAAAGGTAAGTCAAATCAGGCCTTTCCTCTGCTTAAAACCTGCAGTGACTTTCTCTCCTTCTCCCAGATATCCTTCTAAATGTCACCTTTGCAGAGGCCTTCTGTAACAACCCATCACACCCTACTTCACTGTCTCCTTTATCTGGTTTTAGATTTCTTTTTTCCTAGCACTTATTCCCATTTGACTCACTGAGCTTACACTTAAGAGAAAAACAAGGAACAACTTTGTTTCTCTTACTGTGGTGGTTTGTTGGGGAAAAAAGATCCCACTGCTACTATTGACATAGGTTTGTTTTTTTTCGGTAGATTCTGGAATCCAGGGTTATGTGAGCCTCCATTGTATTGTACTAAGTGGGAGACACTGTGTTTAGTTATGGACTACTATACTTCTAAAATTCAAGAGACTTGTCCCTGTTTTACTGTTCGGATTTGAACCCAGGCACTACAGTCTCTGAGTAAGCCAGAGATGTTCAAATGACATAAAAGTGACATAATTTTAATATTTCCGGACCCCATCTTTAAAAGGTATATATATATATTAATAAGAAAAAAGTAAATTGAAATGCAGTATTTATTCAGCTGAACTGGGTAAAGTAAGCTATAAAAATTCCAAATGGTTATCTCTAAATGAAATCCCTTGTTTACATGGTTTTACATATTAATTACTCTGGAAAGTTTTTGAACTCTGTTTAGTAGAAGATCTCCTTTCTTGATAGTTTCTTGGTACTGCCAGTTCTTGCTATCAGGTCTATAAATAAATACAAGAAAAAATGAATTATTTACCAGTCACATTATTCCATAACAAGAACTGACCTACTTTTAAAAGACAACACTTAAGAATGCCCCTTATTCTAAGACACAAATGACACACAAACTTAGCAGTACCTGTTGGTCTCCACTATTTCATTAACTTTATCTATTTTGCAGTGTAGTCTCCCTGCAGCAATAAATCTGGAGAGCTCCCTATAATTAAGAGGAGGGGAAAAGGGCATTAGTGTGAGCCTTATACAAAATTCTTAAAAAACATAGTGCACTAAATACATGCTTCCACTCTCTCAAGGTAACCATTTAGCTGGCTTCCAGCCTGCACTCTTGACTATGCAGCAGCTGAGAAGATCTTTGCTGGCACACTGCAGGATCTGTGGGATCATCCCAAGAGATTAAAATCACTTACTGGAAAAAGCAGCAAATTCATACTGAGTGTAGGTGTCAAAGAATGAAATCATTCATAAGCACATCTTTAGAGCTTCAGAGAAAAACTTGGAGGCAGAAAAATAAGATATCTTGGGTGTGTGTGGGGGGGGTCACCTCATGATAGGAGTTCAAAATCCTTCAGAACATGGAAGGAAAAAAAGCTTCCAAATTACTTTAAGACTGAAGAATAAGGGGATGCTTGGGTGGCTCAGCGGTTTAGCACCTGCCTTCAGCCCAGGGTGTGATCCTAGAAACTCTGGATCGGGTTCCACATCGGGCTCCCTGCATGGAGCCTGCTGTCTCTTTCTCTCTCTCATGAATACATAAAATATTTTTAAAAACTGTATGAAGACTTTACGATGCTACCAAAGAGATTAAATGGAAAGATGATGCCTTTAACATAAAAATCACTACTCTCCCAGATAGTAAAACATCTGGATCCTAGCACATAAACACCAATAAAAAGAGACTAAATCCTAAACAAATTTCTAACAAAATCCAGGGGAAAGGGCTCACTTAGTTTTGAAGCAACCTAATTATAACAAATCCTAGAAACTATGCAAGAAAAGCTTGCAAAAAAAAAAAAAAAAAAGAAACCAACAAACCAGACAAATGGCTCATTAAAACACAAAGTAGGGATCCCTGGGTGGCACAGCGGTTTAGCGCCTGCCGTTGGCCCAGGGCGCGATCCTGGAGACCCGGGATCGAATCCCACGTCGGGCTCCCGGTGCATGGAGCCTGCTTCTCCCTCTGCCTGTGTCTCTGCCTCTCTCTCTCTCTGTGTGTGACTATCATAAAAAAAAAAAAAAAAAGTACATACACAAAAAAGATCAATTTCACTAAAATTCCGAGCTGTAAGGAAATCCCATTGTACAGTGTTGAAGGTCAGAGACAAATATCCATGGATGAGAAAGTGTGTTACTTAGATTTGTGCTTTAGAAATATCAAGTATCCTAATTGCCCCTGGTAGTCCGTGGTGAATGACCCACTACGCCTTCTGTACTAGCTGTGTCAATGAAAAAAAAAATTCTATGAAAAGGAACTAATTCTTATTACTTACAGAATGAAAAAGCATTAAATGTTTTTAGTAAGGGTATGTATAATTTTGGAATATCTGGTTATGAGTTTCAAAAATCTTGAAAGACAAAAAAGTTATGCTTTTGGAAGATTTTAAGCTAGAAGTCATCCTAAACTAGCAAACACTTAAAACATAGTTATATTCTCCATCAAAATATATCTGGATCCAATTTTCAACTGTTTTTGAGTTATATACTGAGTGGCTTTCTAAACTTGTGTTCATTTTCCTGTCACTTAAATAGTTCCATTTCCACAGGGAGCTGCTAACTCATTTGCAACTATTATTCTGGGGCTGAGGTTCAGACAGAATCAGACAAGATTTAACCATCAGTAGCCTTCCTAATCCCACCCAAACCTAAAATGGGGAAACCTCTGAAAGGGCTCTGACTTACAAACAAGCTTCTAGAGACAAACTCTGATGCAAGAATGCCCTCTGCTGAGATTAGTAGGACGACACCCATCCCACTCTAAGAGCCTGACTGTGGGTATACGGATGCTGACAGCACAACTCCTGCTGCCCATGCCTAGCCTCACCAGACTTGAGGCTTTTGACGAGACTCTACACAAGTTGCTTAACTCCTTAGCCTGGCATTTAAAACACTGCTTGTCTCAGTTCCTGTATATACCGCAACACACTCTATCCAATACAACTAGACTACTGGTTTGAAAAACATAGTCCTATATTTATCTGTGCCACTTCTTCCATTGGGAAAGCACTTTTTTTTTTAGCCTCTTACAGAAGCCTTAGAAATGCAACAACATCCGGTCTAAAGGCCCACAAGGCAGCATCTGTGGATCTATTTCTCTGGCACTTCAGTCCAATTCAATGACTCCAAGGTATGCTCATTCTGAATATGTACTTCTCCCACACTGCACTGCCACCACCCTAGAAGCCACCATGGTATCTCTTCCATCAGCTACTGTACTGAACAGCCCAACTAATCCCCCTGTCCCCTTGCAGTCTGTAAAGATACAGCATGAAATCATATCACTCATGCTTAAAATCCTTCAGTGGCTTTCCAAAGGACCTAGATTAAAACCCAAGCTCCGTACCATGGCCTACCAGGCTCTGCACAAATATACAACTGCCTGACTTTCCCACAACTGTCCTTCTCCAGCCGCTACCAATACACTGCAGCCATGTATCTTTCTATTTCATTTTATAATCTCCAGAGATTCATTTCTATCCAAAATTACCTTATATATTTGTTTAGTTGCTAATTATCCCCATATAAAGACTATCAAATATTAAAGACCATGACGACAGGAACCTAAAACAATGCCAACCATACAGTAATGGGTTAGTATTTAATGAATCACTGATTAAAGGCTAAAAGTCCCATCTTTAACAAATAACGTGACCAGAACCGCAGCAGCAACCAAAACCAATGAAAGCCTTACCAGAGAAAATATGACCTTAGGACTCTTTACCATGGCAGCGGTGCAGTCCAGAAAAAAGGGACAGAACACTATTGTGTTAACTCACTTGATGCCCTTTTGTAAAATCACTTAACCATTCTACAACTCGGTTTCCCCATCTGTCAATAAAAGGGGGCACATCATGAAGGCAGAGATGACAAATGATTGTTCTAATGATATATTAACGTAATATTATTTAAACTTACTGATCGATGAATTCCACGCCAACACCAAAGGCTTCCGCCATATAGCCAAGAGTCAGTGACCTATACGATTCCAGCAGCTGGCTATATGCATGGATTCTCATTTCTCTTACATAGTATCGATAATGAGGAGCAAAAAGCCAGTCCTTTTTCATTTCCTGTTCCACAATAGCTGCAATGAAGATGACAAATTATAAGGGATAAGGTGGAGAACATATTTATAATGTAAGAATTAACAGCCTTGATTATAGACAGCTCTTAGAAATCACTAAGAAAAAGCCTGAATGGTAAAACTCAGAGGATACTGATGAGCAATACACAGAAATACAAATTACTTTACTAAATAACTACTATGTATCATTGCTCTTAATAGGATATGGCAGTAAGCCAAAAGACAAGATCACTGCTGCCACAGAAACTAAATTTCAAAGAGCAGAGATAAATGAATAAACAAGATACTCTTAGTAACAAATTTCTGCATAGGAAATAAAAGAGTAACATGAGGACCAGGAGGAAGCCTTCCCCTGGATTGGAGTGGATAGGGAAGATCTCTGAGGAGCCAAACAGCAGGAGGTACAGAGCAATGCAAATACTGTAAAGTCTCAAGTCAGTAAGAGCCAGGCTCAGCCCCAGAAAAGATGACAGATACAGTATAATGCAGCAAGGGGATAGCTACAGGGATGTGGAAGGTGAGCAAGATAAAAAATATACTTGTGTTTCTGGCTTTAACAAGAAGCAAATCCCTGGAGAAGAATTTTTGTTATGTTTTCTGGTTTTGCAGACTTTTTACTTAGGGCAGGGCAAGGGAGATTTCAGTGATAAAGTGGATTCACCTATCAGACATCCAATGAAGATACCAAGGAAACATTTAGGCATTAGTCTGGCACTCCCTGGAAAGTTTGGGGCTGGAGACATGAATTTAGTAATCACTGCCATCCAGTTGTATTTGAAGACAAAATGAAGATGGTGACAAGGGCAATGACCAAGTCTGAGGCAGTCACAACAAAGGATGTGTTATGTCTGGGGAAAATAAGGGTGTGTTACTGTTCAAGAGAATGAAGTTGTGGCAAGATGCAGAGGTTGGTCAACATCAAAAAACGTAAGTAAGGAAACACATGGTTTAGCAACATGGAAACTGATGGCCTTAAAAATGAGATGATGCTCCTCACAAATGATAAAAGAAATACATAAATATCAAGTCATTATGCTGTACAGCTTAAACTTCTACAATTTTATCTGTCAAATCTCAATAAACTGGGGGAAAAAAAATAAGAAAACCTATGGAAGAGAATGGGAAGAAAAATGTTTCTTGGTCATGGTCAGGATGTCACATTCATAAGCCGAACATAAAACTCTTCTATCACTTATGTGCCATTAAAAAAAGACTCAATAAAAACTATCCTTGGAAACAAGCAAGAAATGAGTAAAATATTATTTTTCTCCTCTCAGATTGGTAGGGGAAAGGCTCTCTTCAAATGATGTAAATTGAAGGGCGCCTGCCTCAGTCAGAGGAGCAGGTGATTATTGATCCTAAGGTCATGAGTTTGAGTCCCACACTGAGTGTAGAGATTACTTAAAAATAAAATCTTTAAAAAGAACTGATGTAAATTGAGAGAAACTGGAACTATACATAAAAATAAATCACGGAATGTATTATACAATATGGAATATAGTCAGTAAGGTATGATCTTTGTATGGTGACAGCTGGTAACTAGGTTATAAGGTAATCATTTTATAATATATATAAACATCAAATTGCTGTGTTGTACACCCGAAGCTGACACTTCAATTAAAAAATTGTGCAAATGTAAATTAGCACAATATTTCTGGAGGGCAACGGTGATCAAGATATAATGTATTTGCACTTTGTAAAATTCACCTTCTTGGTTTTCCTAAGGAAGTAAGTGGAAGTAGAAAAGATGAATTATAAGGCAATGTTCAAAACAAAGTTGCTCACAAAGGAGAAAAATAACATTTTTTTAGCAGTAAAGTCTAAATTCTGGCACATCCAACACACTGAAATAGTAGAAGGTCTTTTAAAAGGATAACTAGAAGCTCCAAGGAACTCCACCTGTTTGATCTGCCACTACATAGACCGTGTCTGATACATGACAGCTACTTAAAAATACTTACTGACTCAATGACTATTTTTATAGTCATGAAACAATATTTGCATTATATTATGAAGAGAGAAAAGCTACCTGGAAAACAGCATGTAAAATACACCCACATATGTTTAATGGTGTTACGTGCTTGTATCTCCGGATACAAATGTCCCTGAAGGACACGCCTGAAACTTGATAGTGGGAGTCACCTCTAGAGAAAAGAACCCTGGCAATCACTAGTTACCAAAGAGCCTTTGTCGTCTTTATAGGACACTGGGTAAAATTTTTCCATGTGTACATATAACCTTGGGTTTTTTGGTATATTGTTTTCCATTTCTTAAAGCACGTTTAAATGAACAAAAGGTTTGGATAAATACATAACAAAATTTCAAAATGGTTATCATCTCTGGAAGAATTCTGTGAGCAAACGTGTTATAGATCTGGGAGCAGGACTTTTTCAATTTATTTTTAATTTTCAAAGCAATCGGGTTTTACCTAGGAAAGGATGCAGTTCCCTTTTTCAAATGAAATATATTAAAGTACACATACTACAACTATTTGGGGAAGGAAAAGGGCTTACAAAAGTAAACCAAAAAAAAAAAAAAGGAAGTAAACCCTACAGGTCTCCCTACACTAGAGGGAATAAATGATATGAATAATGATGACTGTCATAAAGAAAACCTAACTATCCTGTCTTCTGCATTTAAAATTTCTGAGAAACATAAATTTGGTAGAAAGAAAAATTTCATCCATCATGTTCAAATAAAAGATTGCTATCAGAAATGGGAAGAGTAGGAAGAGGTTAATACCTTAACAATTCAAAGGTTTCCCAAAGCCATGAATTTCATATACAAGGATACCATTTTTTCCCCTCAGTTTTAAATTATGTAATTAATACAACAGATTTGCACAAGCACTCAATAATATACAGGCAATGAGCTAGTGTCAAGTTCGTTATGAAGTTTAAAAAAACAAAAAACATTCTGCTCCCAATACCAGTTAGGAGAAGGGACAAACTGTTAAGACAGAATCACAAAATAATGCACTATTTTAAAAATGGGGCATCTGACCAAAAAGCACACAAAGGAAGTTCAACATCATAGAGATGAGTCAGAGAAATGTCAATCAAAACCACCAGATACCACTTCACACCCACCAAGATGCCTATAATCAAAGACACAACAAGCACGGGATGTGAAGAGACAAACTCACACACACTGCTGGTGGGGTGTAACTGCTTTGGAAAACAGGTTAGCAGTTCCTCAAAAAGTTAATCGAGGCATTACCATATGACCCAGCAGCTCCACTACTAAATATATACACACCCAAGAGAACTGAAACCATAGGTCTACACAAAAAGTACCCAAGTGTTCTATACAGCGAGAAAGGGGAGACAACCCAGATATCCATCAATGGATAAAGGGATTTTTAAAATGTTGGTGTATTGAGCAGCCCAGGTAGCTCAGCAGTTTAACACCGCCTTCGGCCCAGGGCCTGATCCTGGAGACCCGAGATCGAGTCCCGTGTCCGGCTCCCTGCATGGAGCCTGCTTCTTCCTCTGCCTGTGTCTCTCTCTCTCACTGTGTCTCTCATGAATAAATGAATCTTAAAAAAAAAAAAAATGTGGTATATCCATACAATGGAGCATCATCTGTAAAAACTACATGGAGCACTAATACATGCCACAACAGAGGACCCATGGAAGTGTTAGGGAAAAGAAACCAGGCACAAAATGCCACAAAGATATGATGCCATTCATATCGGTTGTCAGAGTAAGAAGATGCAAATCCATGGAGATAGACCAGTGGTAGCTGGGGGAGGAATGGGAACTGACTGCTCAATGGGTACAGATTTCCTTTTTGCAGTGAATATGTTCAGGAATTAGTGATGATGACTGCACAACCTCAAGATATAAGGCCACCAAATTTTACACTTGAAACCAGTGAACTTTATGTAATTTATATCTCAATAAAAAGGGGAGGCATAAAATAAAAGCTCCCCAGGAATGCAGGGAAGGGATTCATTCTGACTGAAGGAAGAAGGTAAGAGCCCCACATCTGAGCAGAGTAATGACCAGGCGAGCAGCAAGCATAAAAAAGGATGAACAATTCTGCAATATGATCTCATGTGCAAATGCACCTGTGTATAAATATGAGATGAGGCCAAGCAGGTGACTCATCATGCCTAAAGGGCCTTCTTCCCACATACAGAGGGATAGTATGAATTCTCATGAAGCAGCCTTTTATGCATGGAGTAAGCACTCCTTAAACACAGGCAAAAACCTGCTTAAAAACAGAATATGCACGAGGGTGCTTGGCTGGCTCAGTTGGTTAAGAGTCTCTTTGTTTCTGCTCAAGTCATTATCTCAGGGTCCTGAGATCGAGTCCCATATCTGCCTCCACATTCATTATGGAGGCTGCTTGAGATTCTCTATCTCCCTCTCCTTCTGCCCCTCCCCCTGCTCACTAAAATAAAAAAATCTTAGAAAAAATATTTTTTTAAATAAACCTTTAACAGTGTAAACATCAATCTTACCTCTCGGGCCATATAAAAACAAGTCACAGTCTGCTAACCCCCTCTTCTTCTTTTTTTAAGATTTTATTTATTCATGAGAAACCCAGAGAGAGAGAGAGAGGCAGAGACCTAGGCAGAGGGAGAAGCACGCTCCAGCAGGGAGCCTGATGTGGGATTCGATCCTGGACTCCAGAATCATACTGTCAGCCGAAGGCAGGCACTAAACCGCTGAGCCACCCCAGGGATCCCCGCTAAGCCCCTCTTCTAAAAAAAAAGGGGGGGGGCAAAACATTTAGCCACACTAACCAAAGACCTGCAGCAAAGACTTGCACAGTATATTTGTCACAGATGTGAAGAGTCATCTTTGTTATCTGCATACAGGATCAGAATTAAGACAGATCACTGAAATGAGCAGCTCTATCCTTACCTAAAGACTGGAAGAAAACAGAGTAACGACACTCATAGAGTGAAAATAGGTATTGCCGGACCGCTGGAAGGCTGTGCAGCACCTCAAGGATCTCGGCTCCTTTAATCACCTACAAATAAAAAAAAAACAAACAAAAAAACCCCAAATGTACACTTTCATGTTTATTTAGGTTAGAAAAACATAGAGTAATTTCTAAATAGAAGTATTAAAGATTTAGTCATTACCTTTTCCCTGAGATCTGGTCTTTCTAAAGCAATCATGCTGACATAGACCGTGTAAGTCACAAAGGTCTTATAATCCATAAGTTCATAGGATGTGAATGTTGAAACTGTGTCAAGGAAGAGTTCAGCTGCCTGTTTGAAATCACGAATAGCCACACAATAAAGACCTTGATAAACTTTTAGGCGGTTTCTCCTGTCCCAATCTCCTCCTTCCTCTATTAAGCTATAAATAAAAAATAGTAAGGTCACAATCTAGAAACTGACAAGGCCACTTTTTAAAAGTTTTGTGTTATTTTCAAACAGAAAACAACTTGAGCTACAAGAAAATATTTAAAGAAAATATTTTACTAAATAAGCACATCAATTATCTGACCTAATTTACTAGTTGTAAATAAAACAAGCCAATTTCTTATATTGGTTTTTTTTTTTTTAGTGTAATTTATAGGGAATATATCGCCATCATTAAAAATATACCTTTTGGCCTTTTCTGTGTTTCGTGTGATGAGATCATTGTCCATATAAAATAATCCAATCCTAAGAAGATAGAACACAATATCCAGACGGTGACCCAGAGCCACAGTTTTGTCATATGTCTTGCGAAAGGCTGTCAGAGCACCATCCTGTCAAGAGAACCAAGGCAACGGGTGAGAAAAGGTTAAAAGTTTCAAACACTATCAGCTGTCTGGAATTCTCTTAGGAAGAGATACAGGGAAAACGTAGGAGTTGGGATAAAATAAGATACCCATGAACTGATAACTGTGGAAGCAGGGAACCACTGCATGGGGATTCATTATACTTTTCTCTCCACTTGTATAAAATATAAAAAATACATCAGACATACCTAAGCATATACTTAACATTCTAAAAAATAATATACGAAAAACATTCACAATCTATTCATAATAGTTTCAACATTCTTTCTTCCACATATTCAGCATTTTTTTCTCTTAGTCACTGACTATGAGAATACAAAGGTGGATTTAAACACACTGGTATGTCAAAGTATGTAGAATAAAATGTTCCTATTGCTTTAAAAAACACAAACATGAATAAAATCATTTGACTATGTAATACTTAGTATGCGTCTGGGTTTGTTTTATAGAAGTTACACCTCATAAGTAATATGGGCTCGCAAGACAGTAATGGGCACAGCTGGCACACAGATCTTCATTTCTAAATACACCTCCCCCCACACACTAAAACCAAAGATCCTTGGAGAAATGGAGGATTCCAGGTTTGGAGAGTAAAAATAACAGGTGAGCCTATAATAGCCAGCTGTATGAGAAAATAAGGAAGACCAAGGAGATGTCCAACAAAGAAGCCTTCTTGAAGGAGCTCCCACTAACACGCCTGTAACAAGATGAGCACCATGAAAGGGTAATGACTGTGATCAGTGGTAACACAGTGAATGATAAAAATCCATTAGGTAACAGTAAATAATATATCTCAGATGAGAGTAAACAGGAATAAAAAAAGAAAGCTCTTCTTTTTAGAAAAATGCAACTTAATAAACATGGAAAATGACATGGGCACATCACCAATTTATAACTCCTAAGGCTGACTCAAGCGCGTCCTTGTTGAAATTCCTCAAATCCAAGAAAACCACACAAACTAGTAGCTGTTTTCTTTTTAAGATTTATTCATTCATTTGCAAGAATATATATAGGAGAGAGAGAGAATCCTCAAGCTGAGTCCCCACTGAGTGCAAAGTGAGTCGTGGGGTTGTGGGGCTCAATCTCACCAACCTGAGATCATAACCTTGTCCCACCAATTGAATTTCCCAGAATATACCCTAGAGAACATTAGCATTTATCTCCCAGGAGACACATTCAATCAAATTTCTGCAGAAGTGTCTTGTACAAGCAAATACAGCTGAAAACAAACCTACGTGTCCATCAACAGCTGAAGAGGTTAAGCAAACTGGCACAGCCCTACAACGGACTACTAGCTAGCAGTTAACCAGAATCAGCAAGATTTATGTACATTAACGTGGAAAGATCCTGATACAATGCTGCATGAAAAAGTAAATGGGACCACATAAGTACAGTATGGTCTCACTTTAAAAAAAACAAAACTTTTTTGGTGCTTGTTTGTTTTGAAAGTAATATCCACAAAGGGCTCACAGCCATGACTCCAAGACCAAGGGGTCACAAGCTCCTCTGACCAAGCCAGCTGGGTGCCCCTAAAAACAATTTTTAAAAACACAATACTACCTAATTTATGTGCTTGTAAATGTACAATAAAACTAAAAGGTTACCTTGAGGTGCTAGAAAATAAAAATCAAGTAGAACTTCAGCATTATCTGTAATGTTTAGTTTCTTATAATGAGACTATTACTTGTAGAAATAATTCTTCAAATTCAGCAGAAGCAATGCTTCCCACCAAGGTGAGAAAAGTGTGCACCACTGAGAATGATCCCACCTTTGTAACAGCAGGAAACCAACAAAAATCTCTGCAAGTGCCCTTAAGTTCTTACTGGCGTGGACACAGCACAGAACACACGCACCTGGCCAGAAGGGGGGAGGGGAGGGAGTAGCAAGAAACCCGACTTTTTCGTCACTCATTTTTGTGCTGCTGCATTAGGCCAGGTGAGCACATTATCTCTGCAATTATTTTTTAAAAAGAAGGTAATTTTTAAATTTTTTTTTAAAATAAATTTTTTCTTAAAGATGTTATTTATTGGGGACGCCTGGTGGCTCAGCAGTTGAGCCCAGGGCCTGATCCTGGAGACCCGTGATCGAGTCCCACATCTGGCTCTCTGCATGGAGCCTGCTTTTCCCTCTGCCTATGTGTCTGCCTCTCTCTCTGAGTAAACAAACAAAATCTTAAAAAAAAAAAAAAAAAAAAAAGTCATTTATTTGGCAGCCTGGGTGACTCAGTGGTTAAGAGTCTGCCTTCCACCCGGGGTGTGATCCTGGAGACCCACATAGAGTCCCGCATCTGGCTCCCTGCATGGAGCCTGCTTCTCCTTCTGCCTGTGTCTCTGCCCCTCTCTCTCTCTCTCTCTCTCTCTGTGTGTGTGTGTCTCTGAGTCATGAATAAATAAATAAAATCTTAAAAAAAAAAAAAAGTTATTTATTTGGGCAGCGCGGGTGGCTCAGCGGTTTAGCACCGCCTTCAGCCCAGGGCGTGATCCTGGAGACCCGGGATCGAGTCCTGCGTTGGGCTCCCTGCATGGAGCCTGCCTCCCTCCCCCCTCCCTCTCTCTCTCTCTCTCTCTAATGAATAAACAAAATCTTTAAAAAAAAAAAAAAAAAGCTATTTATTTAGTAGAGACCGAGCGCCTGATCGGGAGGAGGGAGAAGCAGGCGCCCCTGGAAGCCGGTGTTCCGCGCGAGGCGTCGCTGGCGGGCGCAGTCCCACGGAGACGCGCGCCACGGCCACTCACTCACCTTGTCGCCGACGCGGCACAGGTACTCGGCCTTGGCCATCATGGCGTCCCGGATCTCGCTCTCCCCCAGGTTCTTCTCCGCGTCTTCCAGCTCCTCGTCCAAACGTTTCAACTCTTCCTCGTTGGCCTTCCTCATTTTACTGAGCAGGTCCGTGTCCAGCTGCCAGTCGAGGGATTTGCACAGGGCTTCGTAGTAGGGAGCCATGTCTGAGAGCCAGAGAGAGGGCGGCCCCGACTTACCCACGGGCGGCGCCGGCGCCCCCCCGCCCTCCGGCCTCCGGCCTCCGCGCACACGGCTCCCCGCTCCCGTCCGGGCAGCCCGGGCACCGCCTGCCGGGGAGGCCCGCACGGCCAGAGCCGCCCCCCCGCCCGGCCGCCCCCCCCCCCCGCCCCGGGGCCAGCCCAGGCCTAGGCCGCTGACTCGGCGCTCCCGCGGGCCTCACTGTTGTCGCGCACGGCCGCCATCAGCTCGTCGCGCACGGCCGCGTCCCCGCGGTGCTCGGGCAGGCTGAGCAGGAAGCGCAGCTGCGCGATGCGCAGGTCGGGGTTCTTGGGCAGACCCTCCTCCTCCAGGTTCTCCAGCGGCATCGCGGCGGCGGCGCGGACTGCGGCTCGGCGTACTGCTGCTCGGCGCGGGGCCGCGGCGTCTGCGGCAGCGGAAGCGGAAGCGGAAGCGGGAGGAGTCGCGACGGCGCCCGGCCGCCTCCGGCCCGGCTTCCGGCCGGCCCCGGGTGGGCCTCCGCCGGCAGCGCCCCCTGCTGGACGTGCTTGGACCGCCCGCCCCGGCCCGCGCGCCGGTGCCCCCGTGTGGCTTTCCCTCGCTCGGTGCCAGGATCCGGGCTCTGGCCGACTCCCGGACCCGCTCCCTCGCTCCACGCTTAGCTGGTCCATCATTCTGCTCATAAACGTCTAGGGGCGGGCAGGCTTTTGAAATTCTTGAAAACATCATCATCGGGGATCCCCGGGTGGCTCAGCCGTTTGGCGCCTGCCTGCAGCCCAGGGCGTGATCCTGGAGACGCGGGATCGAGTCCTGCATCAGGCTCCCTTGCATGGAGCCTGCTTCTCCCTCCGCCTGTGTCTCTGCCTCTCAATCTCTCTGTGTCTCTCATGAATAAATAAATAAAATATTTTTTAAAAAAACCTGAGATGAACATCACAGGTCATCTGATACTGCAGTTCTTTTCCTACGCATACACTCCCGTGCAGGTTTAATAGACAAATGGTAGGAACGTTTTGTGAGTTTTAAATATTTCATATCACAAGGTTTTCCAAAAGAGTTGAGCCAGTTTGTACAGCCAGTGAAACATTTGGGACTGCCACATTCTTGCCAGCAGTGAGCATTATGCCACACTTTTTTTTTTCTTTTTTTCTTTTTTTCTTTTTTTTTTTTTTTTTTTAAGATTTTATTTCTTTGAGAGAGAGTGCAAGGCAGGGGGTGGGGGGAGGAGGGAGAAGGAGAAGCAGGCTCCATGCTGAGCAGGGAACCCCATACGGGGCTCTATCCCAGGACCCGCCAATCATGACCTGAGCCAAGGGCAGATGCTTAACTGACTGAGCCACCCAGGTGCCCCCCTATACCATACATATTTTGTGATTCACTTGTTTTGGTAAAATTAAGCTTTCTGAAGACACCTCAAATGATAATATAAAGAACACAGAAAAACATTACAAGCACACCATCATGTTAAACTTTTGATGAAGAACTTCCTAAACACCTTTTATTCATGGATTCAACAGATTTATTACATGGTTGCAAAGTACCAGGTGCGGTTCCAGATGCTAAGGCACGGCAGTGAGGAACACAAGGCCTGTCCTTATGGAACTTATGTTCTTTTTTTTTTTTTAAATTTTTATTTATTTATGATAGTCACACAGAGAGAGAGAGAGAGGCAGAGACACAGGCAGAGGGAGAAGCAGGCTCCATGCACCGGGAGCCCGACGTGGGATTCGATCCCGGGTCTCCAGGATCATGCCCTGGGCCAAAGGCAGGCGCCAAATCGCTGCGCCACCCAGGGATCCCTGGAACTTATGTTCTAGAGACACTCAGCTTCACTAAAACGTATCTAGCCATATTAATAGGATCATCCTTTACTTGTACTTTATAAACTGTTTCATTCCATCCACCACATATTGTAGAGACCTTTCCATGCCAATAAATACGGATTGACATCATCACCTCTAATGACCTCATAGGGCTCCACTGTGTTTATGTACCAAATTTTGTCTCATCAATCTTTAACTGCTATCAATCTGGGTAACTATTATGTCTTCAGTCTCACAAATACCATAGGGTTAATCATCTATGTACATATATTTTCACATTTATACAAACATGTCTTTTTTAAGATTGATTGATTGATTGATTGATTGATTGAAGAGAGAGAGAGAGAGAGAATGAGCAGGGGGAGGGGCAGAGGGAAAGGGAGAGAGAATCCTTAAGCAGACTCCCTGATGAGCATGGAGTCTGATGTAGGGCTCGATCCCAGGACCCTGAGATGATGACCTGAGCCAAAACCAAGAGTCAGATGTTTAACCAACTGAGCCACCCAGGTGCTCCTGTACAATCATTTCTTAACCCAAATCCCTAGAGGTATAATTTCTGAATAAGAATGTCTTGGGGATCCCTGGGTGGCTCAGCAGTTTAGCTCCTGCCTTCGGCTCAGGGAGTGATCCTTGGAGTCCCTGGATCGAGTCCCACATCGGGCTTACTGCACGGAGCTTGCTTCTCCCTCGGTCTGTGTCTCTGTTTCTCTCTCTTTCTGTGTCTCTCATGAATAAATAAATAAAATATTTTTTAAAAAAAGTCTTAAGCACTTTGTATTTGACATATTACATAAGGATTATATAAATTATTTTTCCAAAAAACGATATAACAATTTATATTCTGGCCAATATAAAAAAGAGGAAATGTCTTTCTCTTTGCCAATACACTTTTATCAACCATTTCAAGCTTTGACAATTATAACAATGTTGTTTATCCTTTACATTCATTATCATAAGGTTGAATTCTTCTCACATTTCTACTATGTATATTTCCTCTTAAGAAATGCCTGTGGGACTCTTGGGTGGCTCAGTGGTTGAGTGTCTGCCTTCAGCTCAGGTCATGATCCTGGGGTCCTGGAATCTAATCCTGCATCAGGTCCCCTCATAGGCAGCCTGTTTCTCCCTCTGCTTGTGTCCTTGCCTCTCTGTTTCTGTGTCTCTCATGAATAAATAAATAAAATCTTTAAGAAAAAAGAAATGACTGTTTTGCTTTGTCAATTCCTCTACGGAATTTTCTTACTAATTTGTAAGCACCCTTCAAGTATTTTTTTTTTATTTTTATTTATGATAGTCAGAGAGAGAGAGAGGCAGAGACACAGGCAGAGGGAGAAGCAGGCTCCATGCACCGGGAGCCCGATGTGGAATTCGATCCCGGGTCTCCAGGATCGCGCCCTGGGCCAAAGGCAGGCGCCAAACCGCTGCGCCACCCAGGGATCCCACCCTTCAAGTATTTTAAGGATACTAACTGCTTGTCAAGTGTTGCAAATTTCCTCCTGGTTATTTTTTTTTTACATTTTATGAAATTTTTTCAACATAAATATTCAATGTTTATATAGTTAAATTTATCCTCCTTTTCCTTTATGGTCTCTGTTCTTACTGTCAAGTCTTAGTAAGATCTTTCCAACATCATGGTTTGAAAATTATTAACCCGTGTTTCCTCTAATATATTTCTTTCTTTCTCTTTCTTTTGTCTTTTCTTTCTTCAAATGCTTTAATCTTTGATCCATCTGGAATATATGTCTAAAGAATATGGTATGTCATATTTAAAATGTTTTTACAATTTACTAGTCAAAAAATATACATATATATACACAGCATAACCATATTTTTTTAAACCCAGAACCCATTACTTGACATAAGATTTGACAGCAAAGAATATTTGCAATTAGCTTTATCTTAATGAAACAAGCCTGTTCTCAAATGCCTATCCTCCTGCTAATGGAACTCATAGGAGTGGTGGCTCGGTGTCACATGACCCAGAGCTGATTAAACCAAGTGAAGCCAAAGGAAACCAATTCATTGTCTGCTCGGCAGTTCATGACTAATCTGGCTTGTCTTGACTAGATGAGCTGGTTGGGTGAATTCTGTTTTCTTCAGGAGAATTTGAACTAGGAAACTCCCTGGTGGTGTTCAGAAAGAACCAGTCCAGGAAAGCCAATACCTGAATAATAATTCTAGAAAGAATAGAGAAACCCAAGGGGGCAGACATCCTCAAACCGAAGGACATGGCATTTCTAGCTTGAAAGAATCCACTGCACATCCAGCAATGCAGAATTTTTTTCTGAAATTTTCATTGTGAATTTTTTTCTAAAATTTTCATTGTAAAGGCTTAGAACACTGGGTCCAAGGAGAAAATTCTCAAGGTTTTCAAAGAGAAGAAAATAAGGTCACTTAGGAATAAGAATTGGAGTGAAAGGTATCTTTGGACACGCAACACTGGTAACCAGAAGTCAATGGAACAAGACCTTCAAAAAAGATCAGAGTGAAATGGTTTCCAACCTAGATTTCCATACTCAGCTTTTATTCTGCAACAAATATGGGCATTAAAAGACCTGCAACATCTCAAAACTTACTTCCCATGAAGTAAGGATGAAGTGTCCCCAGAAAATGAGGAATCCCCCCCAAGAGAAGAGGGATCTCTGGGATGGTGTAAACATAGACCTCAGGACAACCTTGCAGGTGACCTGGAGAGCTGCCCATCAGAAGTGCAGCAAGAAGAGGGTTCTCCTTGACAAGTCTCTTGTGTGTGTACACTCTCTGCCTCTCTCTCTCTCTGTCTTTAACACACACACACACACACACACATACACACACACATATACACACACTCAGTCCACAAGGAGATCTTAGTCTAACTCCCAAATCTATCCAGAAGCTGACCACTCTCTCTACCGTCTGTATTATTTACACTCTGGTCCAGCCCACCATTATTTCTTACCAGGATCACTGTGCTCTCCTAAGGGGTCTCCCTGAGTCTCCCCTTGCGATCTTCTTGACAGAACACCCAGTAAGGCATCATCCTTTCAGAATTCAAGTTGCCCATTTTACTTGTGAAATCAAGTCCTTACAATGGCCGATGAGGCCCTACAGGATAGCATTTCCTGAAGTCCCTGCTGTGCCCCTCAACCTCTCCCTCCACTCACCCTGCTGCCTGCCACCGTCCCCCTGGTCCCTGTCTGGCCCCCATCACAACATAGCATCTTCTCCCAGCAGGGCCTTTGCCCTGACCATCCTGGAAAGTGCTGGAAAGTGCTGCCCCAAGATACCCTTGTTCTCTTCAAGGGTACTCAGATGCTACCTCTCAGAGGAGTCACCACCATCTATTTAGAATTTCATTATGTCTCCCTGCCTGCCCTTCCAATCCATTTTATCAAGCTCAATTTTTCCTATAAAACATACTATCTTCTAAAGTTGTATTTTTTCTTACACTTATTGCTATCTCTGTCTCCCCCAATTCCAGGGTAAACTCCAGGAGAGCGATGATTCTGACATGTGCACTGCTACATGTCCAGTGCTGAGAGCAGAGCCTGGCATCTGGCAGGCCCTCACAGATGTTTCCAGAATGAATGAATGAGTGAATAAATGGGGTAGGGCTCCAGAAGAGAGTCGCCAAGAAGAA